TTTAAAACTACATGTAAATTTGCTTTATGAGGAATTTCACAAATCTAACAGTAAATAGTAAAAATTCCCTTTGAATTCAACACATTTTGATTAATTAGTATTGCACTGCTGAAGAAACTTTTATTTTACAAAATACTCTTATACCTCAAGAATGCAATTTACCAGATTCTTTATTTAGCAGAAAGTAGAAAAGTTAGAAACTTATCAAATAGGTATCGAAATTTCTCATTAGAAACTACAGAAAGTTTTCATTAGCAACTACGGAATGAATTCTAAAAATGACACAAAAAGTAAACTGAAGACAAGAACATTGTCACAGCCCCCCCTCCCAAAAAAGCATTATCTTCACCATTTACTAGTTTTAACTGTTGCTAAAATATTCTGACATAAAATAATAATTATAGAAAATTCAGTTATAAAAATAGGAAATCAAATCAAATAATTTCGACCTCATAAATGAAATTAATACCACAAAATACACATATCACTGAAACGTCTCTTTATAAAATGTTATAGGTAATCAGTGCCATGTGAAATACATCACACAGTGTATATTTATATGTTTAACATCTCAACTTAACCCAAATCCAAAGAACTTTTAATATTGTTATAGGTTTAAATAAATTAGATCATTAAGAGCACAAATTAAATTATTAAAGGAAATTCAGAAACTAGATACTATGCATTAACAACAAGAGCTATAAATTATTTACTTGAAAAATACCTTTCCATATGCTTCTCAAATCTAATTTCCCCACCCCCACATACATATAAATGAAAAACTGATCTGTCTGATTAGGCATAAGAAAGGTTTTAATGCCTCGGGGGGGGGAGTAAAGTAAAACAATGATTACAAAAAATATTAATTAATTAATTAAAAAGAATGTCTTATTCATAGATGCTAGAAAAGGAATGTAGTTTAATCTTTTAATGTATATTATAAATACAATTTGCTGAAAAACAAGAGAAAATAAATTTTACATAATCACAGATCAATTAGTAATCTCAAAAGAGAACTCTGTTGTTTAACAACAACTGGAGAATTTAGGTTGTTCTGAAGTTAAACCTTCAAGCAAGCTTTTATAGCATCATACAATAACAAACAATAGTTTAATAATTAATTTCAACATAATAATCATTAATGTATAAATGTATATGTAATTAATGATGTACAAAAAACACACAAATATTATGTTCAAAACTCACAGCATTCAGTTTTAATTTCAGACATTTATGGAAATTTGAAGAAATACTTCCTTCACACAATTACACACATTACAAGAGAAAGAGTACCATTTTCAGAGATTTCTGAAATTTTTTTTAATCTTTTATATATAAAAAAGGCTTATTATAATTACATATTTAATGGACATTAAAAGGTTCCTACAAGCTTTTATTACTTGAAGATTTGGACAATTGTTGCATTAAAATTTAAATTAAATCAGCATTTCATCAATTTAAAAGATGCAATCTAAAAAAGACCCAAAAATAGACTATATGTGCATGATATGTCTTTGAAATGGCTAAAACTAGCAAATACATTACAGAAATTGCTATAATACTCTTTTAAAATACAAACTGTAAATGGTATCAACAGGTTATTAAGAATATATTATAAGTATTATAGGATATGAGAATTACCGTTAAGAATAGTATTAAAGGATTAGTCTCAGTTGACTCTAAAACGAGCTTCACGAGGCAAAATGATCTAATGCATTGTGCAATGCAGAGAAATTTAACTCAACATTACAGAAAAAATACATGCTTAAATCAACATAAATGCATTTTCCTTTTTCTTTTAACAAAGTTTCAACTGCTCAAGATTTTCCAATAACAGAAAATGATTGACATTAATTTACAAAATCAAAATTTGCAATATAGGCAACACCTGCCAGTTTGATAATGATCTTACTATTGCAAGAATAGTAAGCAAAGAAGAAATTTTAAACATAGTATATTTTCCTTCAGAAACACTTAAGTTCAGAAGAACTTGATATTCAGATTCAGAAAAAAAAAAAAAAAAATCTGAAAGCCTTTAGAATTTACATTACGAACAAAGGGGCATTTTTTTAACGTTTTGTGTGTTACCTTTATTTATCGAATATCATGTTCTTTGCACCTAAACCATAAAATTCAATCCAACAACAATATCACAAAATAATTTTAAAATTAGCATATCTTTATAATTTCCGATACACAGTCTTGCACGCTGGAGATAAAAATGTGGTTCCCTCCATACAGTGTTGCCATTGCTCACTTTGAAATCATTGATTTCGTTAATCAAAAATTCGTTGAAGTGTTACATACTATGAAATCTATAATAAAACAAATTTCAAATTCCAAATTAGGGCTTCCAGATCCCCATATTCGGTGGAAGATTATGTTATCCAAAATTCGATGGCTACCATTGTTTTATCATAATAAGAGAAACATACATACATTTATGCAGATTCTTCACTATTTAATTTCTTTCAATATAACACAAAGCGATGATATTTGGTGGCAACAATTTGAAAAGAGACCCGATAATTACAGTGAATCAATGCAAAATGCCAAAACGAAATTAATAGTCCTTCTGGGCAAATTGCCCCTTTGGGCTAAAAATTATTACAACCCTGTGCATAATTTGTCGATATCTTTGAGCTCAATATGGTATGGAAACAGGTAAAATGTTGTGTAAAGTTGAAAGTAGCTTATAGGTTATGAAAAAAACTGCAGCAAGGGATTTTTCAAGTGCACTTAAATCTTTACTATAAACAAGTCACAAGAAATTTTAATTCTTTGCAATATGTAATATAAATTTTAAAAATGAAAATTTAGAAAACTAGAAGTTTTATTAAAATTATAATTAACAAATTATATAACTGTTCTCTTACAATTTAAATTATATTATTAGATGTTCCTTTCTCTAAAAGAAATTGATAACCTGACACTATATAACATTATCTAAATCACTTATCTGACAGGCTGTTAATAAATAATAAAACAGATTACAGTACCTACATATATTTTACTCATCACATACTCAAAATTTCTAATCAATTCTTCATTAAATCATTCTCAAAAAAGCTAATCAATTCTTCATTACAGTCTTCCGAAAGCTTTTCCAACCTTTATGAAATCTTTAAAAAAATAAAATAAAGGTAAAATAAAAAATAATAAAATAAAATAAAGGTTCATTACATTTGGGGGTAGGAGAAATTTAAAAAAAGAAAAAAAAATCTGAAAGCTTTCAAATTTTATATTATGTCAAAGGGAGTGTTTTTTTCACTCAGGATTCAAAATGAGATTTGAAAAGTGATACAGACAATCAAAGTCAATCGACTCAAAATACCGTTAGACACTGTAATGTTTCTACGTTGCTATGCTACCAACATAATACCAGTAAGAAATGTAAAGAAACCTTGAGCATAAAATATCCATAATTGAAAATGCACACGATGTTGATGTTAATGGAATACTTTGAAATCATCGAGTTTGTTAACCGAAATTAATTAAAGTTTTAAAAAGTATGAAATAGATAATAAAACAAATTCCAGATTTGGGCTTCCAGATGCCTATATTCGAGTGAAGGACTACATTATTCAAAATTTGATGTCTCTAGGTGCTGTTGTTTTTTTCACAATGCATGAAACACACATACATTCATGCAGATTCTTCACTGTTTAATTTCTTTAAATACAATGCAGGGCTCTTATATTTACAGTGAACCAATGCAAAATGCCAAAACAAAATTAACAGCCTTCTGGGCAAATTGCTCATTTGGGCTAAAAACTGTAAAAAGGAGCCTTAAAGGTTCAAATTTAAATCATTCAAGGGTCAACTATAAAAGTGCTTTAAAATGTAATAAAAAATCAGATAATTAATTTGATATAACATGCAAAAGGACATATGAAAATTATTTAAATAAAAAGTATTTAAGTTCAGAATGATTCATTCTATGTTTATCAGTTAGAAAAATTAACTTGAATAAAAGGCTATTAAAATTACAGTTTTCTTTCATAAATTGAAACAGTTTCATAAATTTTATAACAGTTGCATATTAAAAGAGTTTTATAGCATATTGTGCTCATCTTTTTGTAAATTTATCAGTTACTAAGCTAGCAAACAACTGGATCTTAAAACAGTATTACTCTTAAAATAAAATTTCAAGAGTAACTTTATATCTATGCAAAATTTTCTTTTCTGCATTTTCTTCTGTACTAATTAAGCACCAAAATTATCACTAAATATATAAATATATTTAGAATTCAACAGCCAAAAGAAAGAATTGAAAATTATATCTGATATTACTTAAAAATAGGGTTAGAATCAAAACTTTTCTTTTAAACATTATTCACATTAATAAACACCTTGCATTCCTTCAAAAACAATATTAATAAAATTCCCTTTTTCTTTAAAACATGCATATAATTTTACAGTGTAACTGTACAAAACTAAACAGTATCATTTTACAGTGAAACTTTATTTTAACAGTGACACATGAAACTTGAAAATAAATACTAAAAATCGTGAAAAAAGACTGGTTATATAATGTGCTTAAAATTTTGTGTGGCAATTTACACATAGAGAAGCCTTTATATACATGAAATTGTGTCATTAATAATTAGAATAGTCTAGATGTGAATAAAATCATCAGCATACCTTTCCTTTTTAATATTTCTAATTATAAAATAGTAAACAAACTTAACCTAAAAAACTCTCAAACTAATTCTTAAAAATAACAACATAATTTGAAAACCCATTTTAAAAAAATTCCCAAAAACAATAACATTCTAATAAATTTTGTGAACTGTAAAAATGTATGCAAATTATGTCACATCATAATTTTTTCAACAATAACATAAATTAGATTTTGTAAAATAAAATATGTAATAAAGAAAAACATTAAAGTATGTCCTAAATTGACTTCATTAAAAATTAAGAGTTTAATTAATAATAACAATTAAACATTTCTGCATCCAGTTATAAAATTAATACTTATAATCTAAGATAATAACAGTGCCTTCAGTTATAAATACTAATTAAATGAAGACAGAAAGCACATTTAATTAAAAATATCATGTGACATTAATAAAAATTTGTACATGTTAAATAGTATTAAGACTCTAGAAGGTAATATTGTAAATTCCATTAATAGTGTGTCTAAAAAGAAAGTTTAAACTTTTTTATGGTTTTTAGTTAGTTTTGAATAAATCTCAATATACAAATATTCACATGAAAATACAGGTTGTTAAAAAAATTAAGAAGAATGTTTTTATTCCAAAGCTATCATCCAAGTCACACTATAAAAATCATACCTAAGTAATGCCAAAATTAACATGTATTGAAACCCCAGCAAGACCTTAAATGCTAAATTATTTCCTTAAATTTATATTCATTTACTCTTAGATAAATAATCAATTATAAAACATGACTTTCTAGATAAGAAAAGCATCATTTAAACATTTAAAATTTTTCTTCTGATAAAATTTTCTTATTCAGCAAGATCAAATTGTCATCATAATTTTTTTTTTCTTTTTCTTTCTCTTTTTTTTCAAATTTGGAAATACCAAATTACATGTTTAAAAAAAATTAGAGCAATGCAAAATTCGCTTCAAAATGCAATTCACAGCTTGATTCTAAAAAAAATAAATAATTTACATCTAATTTATAAAAAGATATACAAATTTCTAATTTACAGAAGAGAAAATGCATTTACAGATGCATATAATAATGTATCATTATAATACTTAACAAGTATACCAAAATAATGTATCAAAATGCGTCTTTTTTTGATATAATAATAATCTACCTAAACTTCAACATATAATAAAACTGATATTATCTGATAGGGCAGAAAACTAAGTTCTAAATTATTTCCTTTCCATTTAACCTTCTGTGCAGATGATTCCACAACATCCTCCAAAGCATTGCATAATACTGCTTTGTGAATAGGAAGACAACTTCTTAACACTACATGCACACGACCACCAAAAGATTCATACATTCTTACTACCAGACAATCATCCCGATCTTCAGCCTTTTTTACAGTTTCTATCACAATTGCAGGATCACTGACCTGCATAAAATAAATTATTTAAAAAAATTACTACATAATATTTTTAAGCACTAAATACATTAAGTTCTAAAACAAAGGCCTCAAAACATATTATTCTTTTCTGATAGAAAATATCAAAAAATACACAAGTATATCAACTGTAAAATATTCTATCATAGTTCTTTTCAAACAGAGGAACAGTTATTGCTTCCTTTAAAATTACTAGCTATTAACAAAAAAAGGCAATTTTATCAATCTGTGATACATTAAGCCATATTAAATTAACATAAAAAAGATCTTCATTTATAATTTTAATCAAATTTGAGATCCTAACAAATACCCCCAAAAAAAGAGGTTTTACATGTCTGCATATAAATAAAAAAAATAATAAATTTTGAATAACAAATTCACTTCATCAGAATTTCAACATTCTCAGAATTCATGGAATTCATCGAGAATTTGTATCTTTGGAAATGTTTCCTTTCCTACTTATGAAAATATTTTACTCACTGTATTATCCTTATCAAATTCCAGCGTGTTTACAATGGTTATGCTGCAGCAATACATGAAACATTAAGGGCAGAAAATTTATCTACAGCTGCTTACACATTTGAGCAATGTCCTTTAAAATCTGCTCCAAAACATTTGAAGAAATATTGCCTAAAAGAAAGTTTATTGTATCCTATTTTAGAATAATAGGAGGTAAAACTTTTGCATTGACCAATTTAAAAAAATTCTCCCGAACTAAAAAAACATATTTTTTGTTAAATATTTGGAGGAAGCTAAAGAAGCAGATGTTAAGGGGCAGTAATTCCAGGTAAAAGCTTTGAACAAGGACCTGGAAGACCTAAATTTCTGAAAACAGATAAACTAGTGACACCAAGAAAAATCTACTGACCAAAATGCATTAGTTTAATAAACTTGAAAGTCATTACACAAACAGAAACTGTAGGTACAGGTTTATGAAGACCAAATGCAGAAAAGTGGAAAGTAACCATGAAGATGAATATAATTCCTTGGTGAAAAACAATACCTAGGAATTAACCAACTTAACAGGAAACCAGAAAGTTATTAAAAGCAAAGGCTATTTCAAATAAAGCATAAGAATGATGGCATAGTTGGTTGATCAATATAAAGCATGATTTGTCACCAAAAATCGCTCACAAAAGTACAAAACTGATGACAGACTTTTCCCTGTAGTTAACTATAATTCTATATGTACACTGCCCACATTATTGCTAAGTATGACCTGAAGGTACATCAAATGAATGTACAAACAGCTTATTTGAAGGCAGAAACTGATGAAAAGATTTATATTACTACCACAAGGTTTAGTAACTTCTGAAGGCAAGTTCTACAAGCTAAAAAAAATCAATTTATAAAAACCCAATCAAGCAGAACAGGTGTGGAACCTAAAGCTCAATTAAACCTTATGGAAATGGTTTTTTTCCATTACGCACTTGCCACACATTTTGGGGGAGAGGGGATTTCAGATGTAAACATACGTTTAGATACGTTATATTAAAATACACACGCAAATGGTTTGTTCCCACATGGTGCTATCCACTGGGTTTCCTCAGCATTTGTTTGGCATCTCTGTTTCAGGTGCCAAAAAGTGTGGCAGGAGCATAACAGAAAAGTACCTGAAAAACTAGCATCTGATAATGAATCATTATTATCAAATATGTGGATGGTTAGATAATTCTGAGAGGGAATATTCGATGGCACACATTAAAAAACTCTCAGCATAAACTTTTAAATGAGGAACTTAAGTAAAATATAGCAGTGTTTAGGCTCATTGGTACTTTTTTGTTAATATTAATATATATATATATTCAAGAATGTACACCTATATGAATATTACTAGATCCTAACATGAAATTCTGCGAACCTTTAAACACCACTAAAAAAGATGAAGTGTGGACAAAAACAAGGATCACTTCTTAATCAAATCATTAATTTATTTAGTAGTACCTACATGATCCGACACAGCAAATTCTAGAAGTCAACATGATCAATTTAACTGCAGTCCAATACATTTTTGTTGGGATCAAGCAAAACATATCCTACGGTATCTTAAATCCACACTAAACACAAACAGCAAAGAAAAGAACTAAACACTGAAATGTTATGTATATGCAGATTGAACCAAAAATATTCTGACAGGAAGTATTTTATTTTTAATATTAGCAGGTTAGTGATTTCTTGAAAGTCACAGGAGAAAAGGACTGCAGCACTATCAACCATGGAAGCCTAATACATGTTAACATATGCTTTCAAAGAAACAACGCACTTGCACTCAGAAAGCTTAGTTTTTTGTGGAAAAGTTGGAAGGAATGATAATCAAGGTCCAGAGCATTTAATAAAAAGTCCATTTCATTATTACAAAACTAAACATACTGAGACACACTTTCATTATATATGACAGTTATTTGATAAGGAACAAACTAACGTTAAATATTTGTTTATAGCAGAAATACCCACTAATATTACATTAAGGAATCATAGCAAGGATAAAAATATGAAATTTACGAATCTAATAAATCTTAAGTATTAAATAATAAATGTATTTCTGTTAAGGAATGTATTCTTTGTTATGTTCGTGTATTTCCTATCCTCAATCACTAGAAAATAAAAGCCTAGTTGCTCTTAGAAAATTTTCCACAAAGACATCCCTCCTAAATCAGACACCTCTAATGAATGCTTTGTCACAATAAATTCATTAAACTTAATCCCCAAATCATGTAATATTCCAATATTTTAAATACTGGGATGTAATACTCCAAATATTTTACATAGTACAATAAATTTACCTGAAACCAGCTTAAAGACTCGTGCATCTCCAAAGGCAACACACGATGTGCATTTGTTACATAGTGACTAGCTCCTGGTTTTGCCAGATGACTTGTTGGGAAAATGTGAAGAGGATAGTTCAATTGATATGCTTGTTGTATAACACCAGCTTGTTGAAATGTTTCTGCAATATATATACATAAAGATATATTCATTTGATTTAAAAATTTAAGTCTAAAGCATTCAACAAAGTCTACACATTTAAATAACTTTCATTCTTCATATTAACAAAAATTATGACAAATAAGACACAATAAGACGCCGAACAAATACTAATTCAGAATTCAAACAACAAAAATCAGCGTTATATTTTCAAATTTTCACAGGACTAGTATCGATGATTTTACCAAACCACCATCCTCAGCTGCAAAAGCGCAAATGAATGAATACATTCATTTGTGCTTTTGTAGATGAGGATGTTGGTTCAGTAAAACCATCGAAACTAGTCCTGTGAAAATTTGAAAATATAATGCTGATTTTTGTTGTTTGACTTCTGAATTAATATTGATGTTTGTTTGATACTGCATACACAAGCTAATAAATACATAAATGGCATCTATTCATTAAAACATAAAATAAAATTGAACAGCTTATTTAAATGACAAGCATAAAACTTACTACAGTGAGGCATTATAGCATATGTTATGATATGCTTGCCCATATCAGTTTTAGGATCAGGACATTTTGGTGAACGAAGTAATGACAGATATATTCTATTGCCTCGCACAGAATGACCATATTTGCTTTTATTAAGAAGAGCAACACCCCAGTCATATTCTGATATATCAGCCCACTTGTGGCCACATACCTAAATAACAATAGGCATTAATTTTTTTAATTATAAGCATAAAATAATTAATTTAATTAACAACACATTTGAAAAAAATACAAGAATCTTGATAATTCTTGCATTTTGCTTAGTTTTAATTATCAAATTATAGAAGTTCTGAAATTTTTTAAGAAGTTTGTTTATTTTGGATACCAACTAGAGATTAAAAGAATAATATGCAATATAGCTTATAACAATAAATTACAGAAAAAGAAGTATATTACATCGATTTCATTTAAAGAAATAATATGTTTAACTTATTAAAAATATTGTTTTTTATTATTTGTTTCACATCTTATTAAGAAAGAGGGGGAAAGAATAACATTTTGCTTTATTATAGAGGTTTCCCATGTTTTTGAAAGTTTGCTTCAAAGTTTTTCCTACAAAGACTTACATTAGTATTACTTTCACAATCAAATGAAAAACCTAAAAAGAATTTTCCATTTTATGAAGAAAGACAAACACAGTTTGCTTTACAAAATAATTGCAGGGGAAAGGAAGACAAAAGTAATTTTGAAAAAGTGCAAAGTCAGATCTGCATTAATTCCTTCAAAGAGCTGCATGATAGAAAAATGTGTGACTCTAAGTAATCCAGCAAACTTATTTCAAAGCTATCAAATACAGCATATGATAAATTCAACTTCAATCAATCAATTGTGGCAAACCCAAATGATTTTTGGAAGTTGGTGAACTATACCAGAGGTCTCAAACTGGCAGACGTGCGGTCCCCCGAAGCAATTCTATGTGAACTGCAGATATATTTTGGTTGTGTATTTGTTGTAAATACAGAGCTAAAAGTCTGAAGATGGAAAGTTATTAAAACAATACCTAAAACAGCAAACTTCATACATGAACAAGCTCTTAATCATTGAGTTTGCTGCATTGCTTTTAAATAACTAAAAGTTGGTAAGCAGAACTTATTTTAACATAACAAGGTGAGGTAGTTATGCTGAGGAGTTGTATTAAAAAAATTTTGATTTAATAAATAAAACCAAAAAAATAAATAAATAAAACCATTGACAAGCTAAATAATTATACATAAATAACAGTGTTACAAATTTTTACAATAATTGCTCTGTTGGGGAGTACACTTATAAGCGAACAATGTTTTTTTCCAGCTCAGATAAGTCTCATAAAAAAACCCAATTGACTGATGAGCATTTACAATCTATCACGAAGATTGTTTCAAATAATTTTTCTCCAAAGCTACAAATTTTATCAGAACTGAAATGTCATCAAGAGTAAAACTGTAGAAGAAATAAGGAAGTTTATGGCTGGTTATATACAAATATATGTTTTTTGGGAGGGAATATGGAATATGTGTTGGGGGCACGGAATGTGGAATGTGGACGCATATGTGGAAGAAAAATTTGATAAACAAAAGAAAGAAAAGTTGTTGTTATTTATTCTCACATTTGTGCCACTTTGAAAGTTTTCTCAGGAATTTAAAAAAGCTTTTATAAAATCTGTTTATTTTCAAATTAAGTAAGTTATTTAGTGGTTAATACAACATATTAGAACTATATGAAATAAAGTTCAAGTTGAAAAATTTAACTTTTAGCTTCCAATACATTTGAATCACAATGTGTAACCAAGAGAAATTTCTTTCTAGTACCAAAATTCAGATTTCATACATAAAATAAATATAAATTTGAAATTTTTCTTTCACTTAATATTATTGCTTATTATGTTTTCATAAATATCTGTAAGGGATTAGGCACCTAAAGAAAACAGCAAAAAGAATCTCATAATTTTAGCCAGGCAGAAAAGGAAGAAATTCCAGGGTTCAAAAATAAAAAGCATATAGTATTGGTTTGGTTTACTGGATTATGGCAAACCATGTGAGGGTTATAAGCTTAAGGGAAGAGATACCTTTATAAAGGACTTTCTCAGAGAAACTGGTTCTTATCCACATTACATATTGTGAAAAAAATGAAAATGCTCATGTATTTAGCCCAGTTGCTTATCAAACCCAAGTCAAACTATCAGTATACAGTGATTTTGCCGTTCAGCTGCAGATAGGCAAAAAGTAAGTATAGTGAAAAGCATTTTTGAAAATAAATTGAATATTATTGAAATAACTTTCTAATTAAATTAATTAATTTGCTCAAGGCAAATTAAATTTAAAAAACTATAATTTCACAACATATTATAAACACATCACACATACATGTCACACTTAACATCAGGTTATAAAAGGGTGATATCCATACATAAAAGTATGTATAGTGCAATATATATACATATAAGACATAATATATATACATATAAGATATAATATATATAATCAAATATTGTGTTAATTGGTAAGATTTGGTAAGCATCTTTTGGGCTCTGAAAACCTCAAAAATTTTTGTCATTTTAATGTTATTTATTATTTTCATTAGCCATGTACATTAGTATTATTTACTTTATACTATTTCAGATTATGAAAAATTTTTACAAGAACACTACTTTTGTATAATGCAAGATAACTTGCATCAGTTAATCAAAGGTAATATATTTCAAAGCATAACAAAAATGCAAAAGAAAACAAAATAAAAGTCAACTATCCAGAAAACTTGGGTAATACTGAATTCCGGATAGTTAAGTGTATAGAAAATGGAATTCATGTTAGAAGGAAACAAATCAATTAGAAAATTTCCATTTTAAAATTATAAAAACAATCATTTTATTTGTTACTAACTAGAATATAGCCTACATTTAAAACTACATATGACTAAAGAAATTGCAGTCATAAAAGCCAAAATATTTTATATGCCTTAAACAAAAAAAGTAAAACATCTGATCTGATTATGAAATATCAACAAACATGAGAGTTGGTGGAGGCATTACCGATTATTCCAGCAGAAGTTTAAAATAGCAGATCCTTCTTTATTTAGTTAGGTAATAAAGAGATACAAATTATGTTTACCCCACATGGAAAACTTAAATTTTTTATCATAATTTCCCATGTTACATTGTCATTGTTCATGCATTTATAAAATTGTGTATCATGGTTTTTCTTGATGCCTGGATCCTGTTACATTGAAAATACTTCATACACTTTTAAATATTAATAATTTTTTTAGATGCTGGCAAAAAATAAAATTTACATCCTTCTTTGCAAAAATTAAACCAGCTTATTCAGAATTAATCAAGTTTACATTAAATGAAAATGAACTTCTTATGACTGTGTTGTAACATCATGCTAATCTATTACTAGCACACTGTTTGGCAACAATGTGTATGCATTAATAATATTACAAACTCTATAACTGCATTATGTTTCAGGAGAAATTTTTTTTTTTTTTTTTTTTTTTCTCTGAAATTTAAAAATATTCCAGTTACTTGAGCTTTCTGGTTAGCTGAATGCAGATTAGTCAGTTTTTTACTGTATAAGAAATAAAGCCTTCTCATGTAAATTGAACCATATTATTGTAATAGACAACTGTACTTTGAAATCTGAAAATTTGCATAATGAAAGTTTAGAAAATAAAAATTGAAATAGAAAGCATTTAATATTCAAAAAAATTGCAAGTAGATTCATAAACAGAAATTTAAAAAATACAGTTATAAGTGATTTATTAATTTGAGTCACTAAAATGGGATAGTGGTTAGAGATGCTAACTACCATTCCGGATCCTGGAGATGGTATGGATGTTTGTAAATGTATAGTGTCTGTACGGCAAGGGTTCACTCTAAATATACAGTGAACCAAAAGGCCTCTCGAGAGGTTAGGGAAAGAGGGGTGGGAGACCCTCAGACCCATCCACCCCGAAGTGCTCTATCAAAACTGGGGGTGAAATTGAGCAAAGTTGTGCTGTCACCCATAGGCTCTTGCCAAAAGACAGTCACAGTCTTGCACTCCTTGACACAATGAATTTCGTGGGCTTGTTCTGATGTTACTGTCAGACAAAGGAGATGAGTCACAACAAAAATGACATTCATTTTGATGGGGGGGGGGAAACTTATTTTATAAAAGAGAGGTAAAATCCAGTATCATTACTTCATATTTTGCCCAATCCCACGATGTATTACAATGAGTAGGTCTCTGTATATTGCCAAACTGAATTTCATATGTAGCTTGCTGAGCTAAGACATTTACTGGAAATTCTACCTATAATTTAAATCAAGAAATATAATCATTAATAATACAAAGTAAAATAATAGACACTTGACTACAGGAAACACACACATATACTATATATACATAAATTTTCTTAAGCAAAAAATTACCTTTAGGAATTTATGGCTTTCTTCCCAACAAATTGTGCTTTCAAATAACAAATATGGATGAACTGCATCGATTGAAATCTTTTGTTTCATTTCACTATTGGCCCCAATCTTGACTCTGAACGTTAGAGATGCTCTCAAGGGGCCTTGTTCAGTAATTTTTAAGGGTTCAACAATCTAAAAATAAATAACACATGCATACAAAAACAACAGCCTATTGCATTAAAAATACATGTGAAGTAAATTCCACAAAATAATTGAAAAAAAGTGAAGACAAAAAAAAAATTAAAGCATTACATGGTGTAAGTTTGAAGTTTGTACTAAATATCAAAGAAAATAAGAGGCCGTTATACCAGGTTGTTCAATAAGTTTGCGGAACGGAAATGAAGAAACCAATTTTTATTTGTAAAAATGACTTTATTTTTCAACATAGTTTCCCTCAACTTCAATACACTTATTCCAATGGTCTTCTAATTTATGGATCCCTTGACTGTAGTGGTTTTTCGGCAGCTCTGCAAAATATCCCTACACGGCAGCTATTACCTCTTCGTTTGAAGAAAATCGTTTTCCACGGAGATATCGTTTGAGGTGTGGGAAGAGCCAGAAGTCGGAGGGAGCTAAATCTGGCGAATACGCTGGATGTTGCAACAATTCGTACTTCAATTCAGTTATTTTAGCAATGGTTTTTTGAGCTGTGTGTGCAGGTGCGTTATTTTGGTGGAAAATGATTTTCTTCTGTAATCCGGCTCTTCTTTCACGAATTTTTCGTCTTATTGATTCAAAAGGTTACAATAATAATCCGAATTTGCCAGTTTGAAGGTAATCTATAAACAAAATTCCTTTCGCATCCCAAAAAGCTGATGAATCGCTTCGGCGCCGAAGAGCCGGGTTCACACCACTCCTTAGCCTCCTGTTTTGATTCAGGATCATGATGGTAGACCAAAGTCTCATCCATTGTGATAAATCGACGGATAAAGTCGCTTTTATTCATCTTAAAATACTCCAAATGTTACTGGCAAAGTCGCATCCGAATATGTTTTTGCTCCATCGTTAGAGAATGCGGCACCCATTTTGCACAGAGTTTTTGAAACCCAAATTAACACTCAAAATATTGCTCACTGTGCCCAATGAAATGCCTAAAGCCTCTGTTAAATCTCTTTCAGTCAATCAATGGTCTTCCAACACCATATCTTGTATTTTTCCGATGATTTCCGGTGTTGATGCAGTTTTTGGACGTCCCTCTCGTGGATCGTCTTCAAGGCTTTGAATAAACTCCACTTTTGAATAAACTAGCCCACTTGCAAATCATTGTTTTTGAAGAAGCAGATTCACTCAACACATTCACTACTTCGATATGAATTTCCATTGCCTTTAAACCTTTCTTTACAAAGAATTTGATAACTGCACGTTGCTCAATTTTATCCATACCTGAAAAAAGCCACAACATGTTAGATATAAAGGGCGGTTAAACAATGAATAAATTAACAGATCTAAATGAAACTTTTGACGTGTTCCTAAGAAAGAACAAATATGAAAATGGTGTCGACGTTTTAGGTCTAATATTGACGAATAGATGGCGCTCCGCGAACTTATTGAACAACCTTGTATGTATGATATGCACAAATTACTAATAAAATATTTGGGAGAGCAAATTTTTTTTCCCTGTGAAATATTTTGGAAAGCATACTTCTAAGTTAATCTCAGCTGCTATGTAAATCTAAGCTGCTGTATATGATAATATAAAATAGTTCATTTCTGACAGCTAAAAAGCTGAATTAAAAGTTTGCATTTAATACCACACACATAATGAAATGTATTTTTGTTCACTATTGATTTACTTAATATATTGATAATTGCAATAAAATAACTTCATAAAATTTTCTAAATACCAAATCTTATTATGCTAATAAGCAATGGCTATCATTATTGAGTAGGCTGAATTTATCAAACATTGAGCTACTTCAAATAAACTTTCTTTAAAAAAAAAAAAAAAAAAAAAAAAAAAAAAAAAGCTAAGTTTCTAGGGTTATAAATCTGCAGCAGTGGGGCTGTCCTTTACTCCTATGCTTTACTCAGTTACGTAAGAAAGCTAACTCAGAAATGAATTTACTGAAATCATTCAGAAATGAATGTACTGAAATTATTATATCAATCTAAAATATATGTACATATTTTTTAAGTATCTTCATTAAGATAAAATAAATAAATCCTGACTCATAAGCACATATATATAACTGTTTGATTATGACAAAAATTATTATTAGAAAACTTCTCAGTCAAAATGTTGATAAAATGCAATCCTGTCCGTTCTTCCATTTTAATTTTATGAGCAATTTAAAATACTTTGATTTATTTAATGGGTTAAAACATTTCATTCTTGTTTAAAAGCTTTAAAAAAGTATCTTCATACTTTTCCACCATCCATGGTGATTATATTTTTAATCATTTTCTCATTATATTTCACTTAAAATTACAAATAATTTTTTATTACTTATAAATATATTGTTACTATATATAAATATATTGTTACTACTTTCTTATTAATGTGCAACCTCAAATTAATGTCAAAAAGCAATATTTAACCTCTTTAATTGCACTTCTTCCAGTTTCCAAATGATAATCCATTACATCCCAAGCATCCCAATAGAGTGGCACATCATCAAAAATTAAAAACCTGTTTCCCAAACATCCAGCGGCAATTGCTTCTTTATGGCACTCTAATAAGATAAGTGAAGACAGACATCCTTCTTGATTTACAGTAGCTTCTAAAAACTGATTCTTTAAAAAGAAGGTTCCATCTTTTTTTTGTTCTAATAAAATGAATTAAATCATATTAGAGTACTTTTAAAGTAAAAAGTTATAAACATCAAATATTTTTTCAAATACTAATTCAAAAGGGTTAAAATTTAAAATACACCTAAAAGAACAGATGCTTTGACAGCAGATAATCCCCGAAGAAGTTGATACCCCATGGGTACTACAACAACAGGTACAAGAGTTCCACCACCGGATTCATTACTCATATTTTGCATAGCTTTTCCTACACCTTCAATCCACATACGCCTTGATATTTCATCTTTATACCAAGGCACACGAATAAGCTCAGTTCTTTGCCAAGATAAAACATTGACTAAGACAAGTTCTTCTTCTTCTCCTCTGCCTTCTGGTACACCTAATTAGAATAAAAATTGAAATATATCTATATAAAACGTTTTAAGCATTATTGCTATAATTTTTTTTGAATAAATAAGAGCATTTTTAGTAATAATATTAAGTAAAATGTTTAGTATAATCTAGAATATCTAGAAAAGATCATGTATTAGTTCAAAAATGTCACATGCATCAATTCTATTTTCCTACATCTGATCTGTTGTTTGGTTACAAATGCTATGTTGCCACCAATGAATATGTTATAACTTTCAGTGAGAAATACTTCTTTATTTTGACCTTCCATTATCATAATCAATAAAAACATAATTAACTAAACATCTAACCATTTCTCTTTCTTACCTTCAAATTTTCGTAATTTTGAAAACTGACTAATAACGAATGGAGTATTTCCCAGCTATTGCTAAAAATTCAAAAAAAGAAAACATTCTTCCTCTACACTGCTGGCCACTGCTACGGCATGCAGCAAATGTCAAATTTGCCTGAAAGGTTCTATATGCTAGGATATGCAAATGATTAGAATTCCAGTTCATGTGCAAAAAGCACATATCAATAATAACATCTACATTTTGCATTAATGGGAAGATCGTGCAGCGAGTTTCTCATTCAGAAATTGCATAAAAACATTGCCAAGTTCTGTAAAGGTCATGTTGTGCCTTGTGTAAGAAGGAAATACTCCTACAAGTACATGTCGGAATTTGACCAAAGCAAAATTGTGGCCTACAAGGACTGTGTTTTATCATTTCCCAACATTGCTGTGTGTATTGGTTGGGATCCAATGATTGCCAAATGAGTATGGAAACGGTGGATTCAGAAGAGTCAAATTAAACACCGTGTAGATCTCAGCAGCCACAGGTCACTAATGCCCAAGACGGCAGACATGATTTCCTCTCAGCCTTATGCAATTGTACAGCCACATGACACCGTCCAAAGTTAGAAACCTGCCTCGTATGTAGAATTACAAGTGTCTGCCAGATAGTGCAACAAAATCTGCAGCACTGTGGTCTATCAGAATGATTACCACTGTTGTGGCTTCTCTTAATGCTGCAACAGAGAGTGGTACATTTACAGTGGTGCAATGAACGATGACACTTGATACAATGCATTACCCTTTCAGAGGAATTCTGGTTCTGAGTACAAAATCTTGATGGAAGAATCCATGTATGTAGGCAACAAGGAAAACAAATCTAGTCAACTTGCATTTGTTATCATAATATGGGTTCAGCACCTGGCAGATAGTACTGTTGGATATAAATCATGCTCATCTCTTGTTCATATAGATAGTAATGCAGATAGCCACTTTTACATTTTTGACATATTAAAACCCATAGCTGTGTCCTATCTGCAAGGCCAGCATCTTTCAACAAGACAATGCATGACCAAATGCTGCCTGCGATATCCTGACCTTCCTCAATACAGAGGGTATGTGACAATTACTCTGGCCAGTTCATTCTCTAGATCTCTCAGTCAGTGAGAACATCTGATCATGGGTTGCAAGAAACTGGCATGCTCCACTTGTTAACTATTATGAGTGCATAATTCTATAACAGAGTTAAAGCCACATGGAATGAAGTACCTATATCTGTCATCCAATCTCAGTTCAAACTGATGCCCCACCATATTAGAGCCATTGTTGCTGCTACAAATTCAGCCCTGTGTACTGAATTCAGCACATTGTATACCTCAAACCACAGCAAATCTAATCAAGTCTTCCTCTTGTTATGCTGTATATGTACAACAAATAAGATTCTATTGTTTGCTTTCTTTTCTGCAATAGCAATTTTACGGGACAGTAGTGCTTTTCAAAATATGTAGTTATCTACCATTTTTTATCTTGCTTTACAGAAAATATTTTGCAACAGATGCAACTTATTGCCTTCAACTTTTTTGTTTTGTCATATACAAAATAATTACTAAAGTAAACAATGGGAGGATTAATGAAATATAATTAAGACTGAAGTTGGATGCTATTCTAATTTCAGTTCATGAAATGGATGGCTCAGTTGCCAAAGCTCAGAATCTGAGCGAAAATTACATTTTGATTAGATGTAGAATTTAAATTTTGATTTCAATCTTTTGTTATTTTCTGCCTTTCATTTCAGTTCTATTTGAAAGGGCCCCCAGAAATTCTTGTGTAAAAGGGATAAAAGGAGAAACAAAATTTGAATATAAGAAACTGCGTGTGTGAGAAATGAAAGTAAATCATACAAAAGACTTGAAATGACCTTCCCTAATTTCTAAACATAGCATTCTAAGTTCGTGAATGTGAATTCCAGAACCTCAAGTGTTATGCCTTCATTTCATAGTACATATTCAGCTATGAGGTGTGTGGGGTGAAAGTGCATCATTTGGTCCTTGTCTTTCTTACCTATAGGAAAAAGACACTACAGATCAGTCCAGAGGAAAAAGACAGGCAAAATCAAATTCAGTGGCTATAATCCTTTCGAAATGATTCTCTCAGGAAAAAATAATTCTTCTTCACTGGAACATGAATGCCAAAAATAATGACTCACAGAACTTCTCTGTTAACATTCTTCCTCACTATTATTAATTTAGAAGTCAAACAACAAAAATCAGCATTATATTTTTAAATTTAAAATTTAAATTATAAATTTTTAATTTTTAGATTTAAAAATATAACACTGTGAAAATTTTAAAATATAACACTGATTTTTGTTGTTTGACAACAAAAGCGTTGTTACGCTGATTTTTGTTGTTTTTGCTGATTTTGTTGTTTAAATTTAAAATTTTTAAATTTAAAAATATAACACTGTGAAAATTTTAAAATATAATGCTGATTTTTGTTGTTTGACTTTTAAATTAATATTTGTTTGGCGTGTTACTGTATCTTAATTCTTCCTCACTGTTTATGCAGTACAGTGCTGCCATGTCAACTTTTTGGAATGCCCTCTAGAGCGTTCTTCCTCAAAATTGAGATGTAAATGCGCAGTTAGTGTGGTAAGACTATACCTATATGACCAATGGAGAATTTCTGGTGCCCTGCCTACTTCTACCTGTACCTGTACCTGTAATAGATTGTCTTCTACCCAAATTTGATCACATTTTGCGAAATATTTGTGCAATGATGTGACAATTTCTGGGCGCCCTTTCAAGTGGAACACTAGATAGTTGTTCTTCTATACCATATTGGAAGTATAACAAAACAAAAAATGCACCTTATTCTTTTTATTCATCCTTTCTAACTTAGTATAATACTATATAACACAGTTTTACTTAGGATTGATCCTGCATTCATTCAAGTAGAGGTTAAATGTGAATTCTTAAGCATCTGTGATTTGGCTTTTATGATTATAAAAATCAGTTTATTCACTTACTTCAAATGCATGAGAATTAGAAAACTATTTATTTGAAAAGCAATTTTTGGTCACTCAGAGTAGAAAACAACATTATATCACAATGTTGTCATTAATTACATATTTATTATACTGTTATTGTTTTAAATAATATGGATAAATAATTCTCTTACTATATCCTATTTTTAACTTTAAAAACTTTCTTACCAAACAAACAACGAACAGCAGTATCCATTAAACCAGCTGCTCCTTTTAATACTTCCTTATAATAGAAAGTAGCCTCTTTATGCACATCTTCAATGGAAGAACCTGGCAAGACATCATGAAACTGGTTTAAAAGCATTATTTTCCACAATCTCTCAAGCTCTAATTCTGGATATGCTTTCTTATCTTCATCTCTACAAGCAGCTAATAAGACACTATGCAACAATTCTGTATCCCTCAAAAGTATTTCACACTGTCGGTTTAAAAATTTCATTTTTGCCTGAGTGGTGTAAGTGGCATTATGCAGTTCTAAATACAGTTCACCAGACCATTTACATAAATTATTTATGTGTTTTTCTTCAATAACACTAAAAAAATTATCTGGAGATCCATGTTGGACTCTGCAAAAATTAATTTAATATATTAGAGTGCAAGTAAAAAGAACTGCTGATTTTAAATACATTCTAAAAGTTACACAATTTTTAGAAATACATTGTACTGTAAAAATTACATACCAATAGTAAAAACATATATTTCATAAATACATAATTGCACAATTGCAGTAAAATAACAATATACAAAAAGGATGGACTAATAAAATGATTTTCTGTAAATTAAGAATAAATAAGATTTTAAAAATGAATTACTAAAACAAAATATGTCATAGCATCATATACGAATAAAACAATAAAATACAAAAAAATTTACATAATTTACAAGCTGTTAAAAGCAAATGTATGATTACGAAAAGAAAAAGAAAAAAAATATATAAAAGGCTGGATCAATATGAAATTTTGGAACTACTCTTATATGCGCCCTCAGGTCGCCAAATTTTTCGCCAAAACGCTGCTATGTTACTATCTAAATTTTTTGTCTACATTTCGAACTTTAAGCCTAAAATGTCTCCAAAAACCACACTTGAACACACAATTTAAGCTAAAAATCCAAAACAAAAACAAAAAATTTAGATAGCAAAAATGTAGTTTCTAACCAAAAATATTTGACAGGAATCCATGTACACAATGATATATTTTAACTTTAAAAAAATCTACGAATTGCACAATCTAGGCAATGAACGAATCTACGAACTACGCACACCTCGCTTTAATAAATTAACATAACAACAATAAATTTCAAAGAATACCATGTACACAGCATTCTGTTTAAACTTAAAAAAACATCTATGAATTGCACAATCTAGGCACTGTGCCCAAATCAACCAAATAAACTAAACTAAATTACAAACAATTCAAAAAACAACAAAAATTCATAGTAAAAAAAAAAAAAATGAACATAACATTCTACAAAATAAAAACAGTAAATTAAAATGCACTTACCATAATACATTCCTGAATAAAATTTCGCAAGTCACACAACGTCTCTGAACAAAAATGCCACGATTTTGCTATATCACATGTCTTTCTGAGATTCAAAATTTCAAAAGTAACGATAAAAACTTTCTACACACAAGTTAACTTACTACACCAAAACCACAATCCAAATCTTAAACTCCGCTGAACCATTTGACTGCAAATCCACACAACTATCAGAAACGCCCTTCTTCATCCTAGTTCTCATAGCAGCTCCGCATTTTGCACTCTGTTTTAAAAGTCCCACAGAAATTCCAAAAATACACTTCGATCCTCATAAACACACCCGTGAACAAGACTCGTTGATAACTCTAACATTGTACCTTTTAATACTAAATTTACTTTCCACACAAGCTAAAATACGCGACTAAAATCTTTCCACCATGTCTATCATTGCAACAAAAGCCATTTCAAAACATGCACCACACGAACTAACGAGCAATTAAACCACTCCAGAGAAAGATTTTTCAACGTCAACAGGATTGCCATACAACACGCAATCGCGCCAAAATCCAGTGCAGCACACATATCGCCACATTTGGTGAAATCAGGCTGCATTAAGAGTAGAGCCGAAATTTTTAATAATATATCTAGGATCTTAAAAAAGATTCATTATTAAACTGAAATTAATAAAATAAAAAAATCTAAAATAATAAACATTCAATCTAAAATAAGTATTTTATACAATTTTTAACACAGACCATTTTTTTTTTTTCAAACACTAAAATTCTAGAATAGTCAAGTTTCTGGTCTAACCAATATATTTTATTTGGATAACCAAAAACTTATTTTTTCTGCATTTTTGGAAAAGCAAAATGAAACTTAGTAATAAATGCAAATAAAAGTGGATCTGAAATTCTAAATCATCTTTCCAAAAATAAAATCTCAAAATGTACTTACTGCCTAAGTGCATTTTTGGGTATCAATTCATACATGCAAGCATGCACACAATCAAAAGAGAAATGTGTTTTACTGAATGCCTGCACATCTCTCTGCTTTTTTTTTTTTTTTTTTTTTTTTTTTTTTCTTTGAAAAGAATGATCCCAGACCACAGATGCAAAAAGTGTCCCAGATTTAAAAAAAAGGGGGGAGAGGGAACATGCCTGATCAAATAAAAGTGATTGATGACAGTTAAGAAAACAACAAAATTCATCTTTGCAATGATGCAAAAGAAAAACTAGGATAAAACTGGACATGTCATTTAGGTGTTATGTATCAGTTATGCAAGAGGATTCAGCGGGTTTATCCAGAATGATGAAAGAAGAGAGATTTCTTCTTTCTGCACAACAATGCACACACTTACATGGCTAGAGCTGTGGTGCAGCTTCTAGGGAGAAAAAAGTATCTGCCAGTTTTTAACCATAATCCATATTTGCCCGATTTGGTGTCGAATGACTTTTTTTTAATTCCCAAAATTATTTTTTTATTTCTAAATCAAACTTCACATGAAGGGTTAACATTATCATAGTGTAACCGACATTCAAGTCACAGAGGTACGCAAGTTTAACATCTCTCAAAAAATACTTTTATACAGTTAGAATAATTTCATGTAGTTGTATAAACGTTCTGTGCATTTCATCCAAGTGACTACATAGAGCATTCAAAGCATTAAAACCTTCATCTTATGTTTTCTATAATTTTCATTAACACATTGAAGCTGGTGGCCAAAAAACAGGTCAGAGTTGCAATTTCTCAAAATGATGGCTCTGATCAATTTTTTTTTTTTTTATTTATTTATTTCATTTATTTAATTTTTTTTAAGTAATAGCACTTGAACATACAATTCACTGACCGAAATATAAGCTACAGTAATTCTGCCCCCTTACCCATCAGGTTTCGGGGATAGCCATTGTCCAATAACCTTCCCTGCTCCTTGTCCTATGACATTCATGCTACTCATAACTAAATGGCTTTCTAAATTCCCTTTCATTTTCCCTCAGAAGTGAAGCTCGGGGCAAAAATCTTTCAGTGTGTTTTACATAATTTGCATGTTTTCTCTAGAATTCACTAATACTGCATCTAAAAGCTTCAAAATGCAATACAATAAAAACACAATCAATAAATTATTTTTTTATTATTAAACTAAAACAGAATATTAAGGAAATGCACATTAAGAAAAAGAAAGAAAGACTGCTATTATCACAAAATGCAAAAAATAAACAGTGATACAGTTCAATGATGAAATATTTATACAATACAATAGGGGGAAAATCAATAAAATATTTTTAAAAAAATACTCAAAAGGAAATTGGTGCTAATATCATAAATATGAATGGGATTTGGTTAATATATATGTATAAAGCTAAAATTGTTACTCAATCTTTCTAAAAAGTTAATATGAATTGCTGATTTGTGGAAAAAACAAATGATCAAACTTTACTTTAGTGTGTAAATTAACATTTTTAATCAATACATGTAATTCTAAAGTATATTCAATTTAGAAACAAACTAAAACTTATTAAAATATATAAACTGTACTGAAACCCCCTAAGGGAAAGTCTTTGGTAATTAGTCCCTCTGCAATCTGAGCCAAAAAACAGGAAGTGCATTCCCATCTTATTAAGTAAATCGAATCATAGTGCTTAAAAGTGAAATCTAGTGCCAGCCTTTCAAAATTAATTCAGCGTTTGTTTATAGTAAAATGACAAATGTTTTCCAAGTGCTGACGTTTCAAATCATTCCAGTGTTTTCAAGGCCATCGAACTGCATATCTTGATCCAGCTCTCATGGGAATAAATTAGGTTGTTCTTTCGCAGTTATAGGATTAAATTTACACTTGAAGTAGGTGCCAGAAAATTATATTCGCTTCTACATAATTAAATCTACATTGGGAACTGATATTTTTTTTTAATAAATTCGACATTAAAAATGTAACACTATAATATGAAAAAATATAATTTAATGATATTAGAAATTTGAATTCAAATAATTTAGTAAAGTAAGTAAAGAATTCTTAGAATTTTAATTATTTTTAGGGAAGGCTATTAAGATAAATAATTATATTTTGAATTTTTGTTGAAAATTTTGAATACGAATTTTATAACTATTTTTAAAATGAAGTAGATGTAAAAAATAAGTGAAATTAGTACAGATAATGTAATATGAAATTATGGTAAATGCATGTTAAAATTTATGGGTGATTGTGTGTCAAGTATAGAATATGATGAGGAAGTACTAGTAACAGAGTAAACAGAGGCCTGTAATTACCTCTTAAGTTGTTCCTTTTACCCTCTTCATGTAAGATAATGTTGGAGGCTCTTATTTCATGAGTGTGTGTAAATATTTTATATTATTATTATACTTTTTTTCTTATTGTGGAATGTATTAGTGCAGTTCTCAAAGGCCAGTTACCTTATGCAAGGAACGGAGGCCTTTACAAGTAACTGCCTAGGCACCCTTGTGCCACCAGTGCAGAGAACACACTGGTTAGCTTAAGAGGACGGCCCTATTGATGAATACGTTTGTTTAGAAGTATTGTGAGGCCTTCCAGTATGGTGAAATAAAGGAATTGTAAATGAAAGATAATAATGGTGAAACCATAATTTTTGAAACTGTTACTCCTATTATATTTATGGTGTTAAAATATAATTTATCAATATGGAAATTAGTATCATAAATATTTATGTGCATTACATTTAATTATAAGTCTTCAGTCAGAGCCAACTTGAGTGCTAGTTAAACTGTGAAGTCATTAGGCAAGACTTAAATTTCATTAACTTTAGTTTATCCATTATCTTTGACTATTAATTTCATCAAATATGTGAATATAAAAAATTTAAAAAATTAATTTTAGAACTGTGTAAATAATTTATTTCAGCATTAATTTTTAATTATTACTTTAGGTACTAATTATTATTTACTATCTTACTAGGTTAAGTTTTACACCTGATATCACAATTCACAAATCACTGTCTATTAAACTCAAGTGCTGAATGAATTAAAATATGTTTGGAATGGAAATGATTTTATTAAGTGGTGGGTACTGTATAGTCAAAATTTAGTATGTTTTTTTGTAACAAATGTGTTATAAACACCAAATTTGAGAAGTTTCAGCTATATCATATTTTTTCATGAAAATTTATTTAGAATTTCAAGCTTCTATTTTATCAGTTTTAGCCAAAATATAATATGCTATTCCTATTGATATCTAAGTCTTAAATATTAAAACTGACACGTTTTGGACTTATTTTAATATACTTTTTCATTAAAAACTGTTATAGGTTCCAAAGTATCAGTTGTCCAGGTATCAATTGTTAGGGACTTCAACCAAAGGACTACCTCCAGTTGCCCAATTTTAAACAAAATCTAATCAGCTCATAAGGTATTTTCAGTATGCCTTCATGGTGTAACTGTAACCATACTCAATGAATATTTAAGAGATCCAGGGTTTTGAGTCCCAATAAAAGCACTGTACATTTTTTATGTCTTTTGCTTTCTTAATATTAGTTCAAAATAATCTAATAACTCTACAAACTTTTTATAAAAATATAAAACTTAAATACAGAAAACAGAATTTTTTAAAATTTTATTATAAGAGCTATCATGGATGAAAAAAATCATGGCACAGAGACACAAAGTACATCATTGTAAAAATAGTAAATATGTGTTGCAGGGACCCTTGTAGAGTCATTAGGTTATTTTCAAGCAGGAGACATGAAACAAGAGCAATGCTCTTGTCCGGACTCAAACCTGGACTCTCGAATATGTGCCAAGTGTGCTAACCTTTACACCATGAAGGAATGCTGGAAAGAGGGAGAAAATACCTTACATACTGCCCTTTTAAAGGATGACTGGCACTGGGGAACCCAAACCCCAGATCATGGTGGTGATGAATTATTGTCTACCACCTTTCAGTTTGGATGCTACTGTAGAGTTATTAGGTTATTTTTACGCAGGAGACACAAAAAATGAGCAATAACCTCATCAAGACTCGAGCCAAGTGTGCTAAACGTTACACCACGAAGGCATGCTGGAAGGAGGAAGAAAATACCTTATAACCTTATTCACTGAAAACTAACTATCAAATTTTGGGGACCAAAAACATTAGTACATACATAGGTTGGTGAGAGTTAAAAATTGCAGTTTCTTTATAGCTTCTTAATATTAGTTTATAACTGCTTTTCAGTACTTACTTTGGAAGCCCATCTACATTATGAAGCCTCTGTATTCTTTCTAGCATCTCTTCTGTAGGACCACCCCCACCATCTCCATGGCCATATAGCATCATGCTGCAGGAGACACGACCTTTATCCTGAAGATTTTCAACTGCTTTCACAACCTAAAACCAAATTTAAAAAATAGACAAAAAGGACTTTTATTAATATTTTAATCCAAAATAATTAATAGTTTTTGAAATACAGTGAAAACAAGACTTTATTATTTCTCCTACTAATAACTACTTCTTTATCATAACTCACACTCAAGTAGTTGAGAAAATTTGAAATCTTTTAACCCCTTCGAGCCAGGTAGCAAAAACGCGCGCTTATCGCTGAGGCCGGCAGTGTCTTACGCGAGCGTCTCTCCAGGGCTGGGGGCTTTTTTCCTACTAAGCCTAAATCCATGAAATTTCCGAAGTATCAACGCATTGTTTAATAATGCTCTATAGAGTATTTAAACGGCTTATGCTTTATAAATATTTTATATATATATACTTTAATTACTTTATTTCTTGTTTAAATGCATATTTTACACATTTTATTTTAATTACTCACCATTTTATGAATTTTAACATTATACATCTGAAAACTAAATATATTACTTAAAATTCTCTTTTCGTATGAAAAAGTTGAAAACAGGGATCTACACACAGTCCTACGTTACATTCCTTGCACTCGTAATAACTCATTTGCCGTTTTGGAGGATTTTTCCAGGAATGTGAACAAACGAAGCATCGTCGTCTCATTTTCTTATCAGTCTCTTCTGAACAAAGTTTTGGAAAATGTCTTTCAGTTAATCTTTCAGAATCAATATCAGAATATCAGAATTTCAGAATCAATATCTGAAATATTTTGCATCATTTCTGCTATTTCGTGCTCTGTTAAACATTTTCGACGCTTCGACATTGCAATGGTAAAAACAAAGAATTCACGTCTAACAAGACCTAATTATTTTCTAAAAACTGAACTGCAAACCGAAATACCCAACGCCTTAGAGCAAATAAAACTTCTCTACTTACAGTAAACAACTACCATGTGCAAATAAAGTGTGATTTAAAGAGACGTCATAAATCACGCCATTCAGAAACATTTATTTCCCCGTTTGTTTATGTAATCAAAAACACATGTATGTGAGTCATGCTTCTCTCATTTCGAGTAGAAGGTCTAATTTACATGTATCTGAAACCATATGGATATACAGTGCCATCTTGTGGCAGAAATTATAGTTTGAAAAACGTTTCAAAGTACTGGCACAAACACGTGACAGTCGGTAGAGAACGGAACAATCCTCTGGCACGCCTGCGTGTCGGCCGGTAGGTAAGTGTGTTCGTTGCTGGCACGTATACGTGACAGTTGGCACGAAGGGGTTAAAATAGTCTCTCTTTAATGTGAAAATATTCTGGCATTACACTCTATCATTCATTCCAATATAAGGTAATTACATATATTAATGCGTAATACATATGGAGGAAAAGTGATACAACTCTCTTTCTCAGGATAACAGAGTTAAATATGCTTATCTTGATGTGCAAAGTAAAAATTTTACAGCATTCCGAATAATTAACTCCCAAATTTACAAATTTTGCCCACAGATGATAAACTATCTTTGACAAAAGAACATATATGTCTCCCCTTTTCTTTTTTTAACAGAAAGAAACAAGCAAGCTGTTTTGTTCTAATAAGAACTAATTTCAATAAAAGCTTATTATATAGGTATTTCACACAATGCATTTTATTTGATCATACAGAAGTTAGAGCTATTTCCTTAATAGTTGCAAAGATATCCATTACCATGCAAACACAGCACTATTTGCCATGAAATTTAAAGAAGTTATACATTAAATGATAAATTTCATTAGGTGGATTTCCATGATATCAAACAAGATAGACGTCTTCAAATTCTAGCAGCAGTGAAACAGGAGACAAAAAACATACTCTTAAACATTATCTTCCTTTATATTGTTCATATACCAAGAATTGTTTTCTTGTTATATTCATTTCCCATAAGATCTATACTTTTCGATGTCTGAAGAGAAAAATTAATAACATGTGTTTTGTTAATTTACCTCAAGCTAAATTACATTTAATATATTATACTGCAACTTTGATCAGCATGCTCTGCATACAATTTATAACATTGCATTTTCTGAAGGGTAACTATTATTACAGATAAATATCAGCAAAAATGCTTTGGCATTTTCATTACTTTTTGTTACCATTTTAATGAATGTGCCTTTGCCATGAAACTGGCTAAAACAAAGTGTGCTCTAAAACTCCCATATCATTTTATAGTTACCATTAAAAATTCTTGCACACTCAGATAAATAAGTGAAATTTAACTTGACTTGACAAATTTAATAACATGCAATTTGAAAGTACCTTGAACAGCATATAGGGAGAAAAAAATGGCACTTTCTGATTATCCAACCAACCCTCCTGAAATGTTGCCAGTCATTGGAAACTAATTTTTTGTCAATATAAGACATAAAAGAAGCAATCAATTTACAAAATTAAAAATACAAGAAACATCTATAATAAAATATTTACCTTATTCTTCTACTTTTCTTCCCACTACAATCAGTTTTAATTTTAAAAAAACATTACAGAATTCCAGAAACTCAGCATTGCACCCACTGCTTTAAAAAAAATCAGTGACTTGCACAACTTTATCATTCCACATACTGTTGATTTCCCATGTACACAGCAATGTTTTCTCTTTAAAAAAGTATCATAACTGCACAAATTTGATCATTTATGAAAAACAACATCATGAAATGCAAATCTTGTATTTTCTACTCTTAGATGAATCTTCATATTTCTGGAGATATGTAATGCTTTCTTTTTCATCAGCCAGTAAACCCTATAATCCCATGACAATTCCTTACAAGAAAAAAATGCTCAAAGCCATCAAACACTAATCAGAAGAAATCGACACTCATGAGCAGCATGTGTACATGCACACTTGGGTTTCCAAATAAATAACTCTTCATGAATTTATGAGCTGCCTATCTAGGAATATAATGTGTTACCTGAAGAATTCTTTTCAGGATTGGGAAGATAATCAGAAAATAATCACAAAGAAATCTTATCATTTTGTAAGCAAGACCATATTTACATATAACTAGCGGATTTTGTTTGAGAGTTTTAAATAATAAGAATTGCTACTAATAGTCAATGTGCATGTCTATCAGTCATTGCAAATAATTCAGTTTTACAATAAATATAATGTACTCATAAAACTTACTTCCTCTACACACACAGAAGAAGTATAAGACTTTGCAGGAGGAAAATGAGCAAGAACAGTTGATCCATCTAATCCTTCCCACAGAAAATTGTCATGTGGGAAAGTATTTACAAGACTCCAGCTCAACTTGGTAGTCAGAAACCTTTCAATTCCGCATAACCTATGATGATATATAAAAAACATTAAAATACAAAAATGTTTACAATAAACCAATAAAATAATGAGAAAAATCATGGTAGGTTGTTTATATATTAAATGAGCATTATTATGTAAGAATATAATAACAAACCAAAATGCTATAAAAAGAAACTTACCACATATAATGGAGATATAGAATGTAAATAATGTGATAAAACAAACAGTCTGCTTTGGAAGAACTCAAAACTACATTATTTGGAAAATTGGTTCATAATTATATCACACATATGAAAAACCACAGAAATGCTACGTAGTCATTTTAATATGAAGTATAAAAGTAACAAAAAAGTATAAGTGTCAATTTATCACAAGATATTTCAGTACAACAAGATTAACTTGCAATAACAGAAAATGCTCCTGATGCTTAACAGTTTTGTTAAAACAGTTTGTAAACTAATCTAACTTTCAAAATTAGGCAAAGAGGTGGTATTTTAATACTTGAATATTGTATTTAATAAATGAATGTACTTCTTTTCCAGTCCATTCTAATTTCTGCTCTATTAATTGTTTTCATTCTATAAAATATAAACTTTGGCCAGTAATTTTTTTAAATTAAAAACACAACACATATATATTCTAGAAGAGAATTTCCAAAAGTTAATTAAAATTAAGAACTGAAAAGCACTCGTCAAAAGTTTAATAAAAAGAACTATGAAACAAACCTATCGTATTTCAACAAACAGTTTTAATCCTCGAAAAAATATACTGTCCTTTTAAAATATAAATAACATGATTAAAATGCCTAACATAGAATCCTGCAAAATAAAAAAAAATAAACAGAGATTATCTTTGATACAACTTGTGTTCATAGCCCTAAAGAATTTTTTTTGTGTGTGTGTGCAGAGAAAATATATTATTTTAAATTCATAGATAATTTAAACTACTATCTCTGAGTGGGCTTTCATCAGTAAATAATAGTAATAATAATTTTGTAAAAACAACATTATTCATCTGGTAAAACATTATTTGAAAAAAAAAACTCTTACAGAATAATTAATTCTTTCAATTAAAATAATAGCAATAGTTCCCCCCCCCTTTAATAGCCACAAAACAATTAGGGTTCTCCAACTGCCAAATTATGCTTTTTCCCTCTTCTACTCAGTTCATAGAAATCTTATTTAAATCTCGATTCCTGGTGAATTTACAGGATTTTCATAAAATCTGATATTTAATTCAAATAACAGAACCATAAAACTGCACATTTTACAAAACAAATATAAAAGTGTAAAATGGAGAAACAGTTAATCATTATCACCTATCACTGTTAATTTATCATTCTTTCCATTTTTCCTACTAGAATAATCTGAAAAATGAATTACTGAAATATATTTCTTTGAAATCTTATATATTCATCCAAAACTTTCAATTATAGTTGATTATAATTTTACATGCCTCCCTTCTCTAAACTTTACTTGATCAAATCTTCCTATTCTGTTGCTCAAATTTGTATTTTGAATCAATCTGCTTCTGTACAGTAGCAAATCTGAATTTGGAGTGTAAAGTTAAATTTTCTGGTTCACAATTACAATTAAATACAGTTCCTTTACTTATAAAAGCCCACCTCAATGAGGAGATATATCTCCAAACAAATATATATGGATATCTGCAGTGTCCATGCCAATGTATCTTACACAGGGAAACATCTCTGACATGTCAGATACATGTCTGTCATGACCACTGCGCATGAAAGGACATATTTGGAGACAGCTAATGAAACTGTATATGGAAGTCATGTGTCTGAAAAGCAATAGCAGCTAATGAATCAGTGTTTGGTTTATCAAATAACATACGTTGTAAATTGTTTGTAATTTTTGTTATTATTTTAACAAACTAAATTTCTGATGATATTTATTTTGAATCTTAAATTCCAATTTATTACTTTATAAATACACTGAAAAATAGTATTTTCCCTCCTCACCTTGTTACAAGTATTTGATATTGTAAGCTATATTTCTGCCTCATTTCTTAGCATTAACCTTTTGCACCTGTTTGCATTTGACTACATATTTCTCAATTTTTTGTTGTTAATAATTTTTCAACTTCTGGACTAGGTCTAGCTGGCTCGATCACTTGGTGCATTTACTGAAGAGTTTAGATTTTCCGTAAAACAACAGATTATGAATTCAAATCCTGGCTGAGTAGTTTCCTGGTATGTTTTTCACTGTAAATTAATATTTCATTGATCCACAGCAAATTCATTTTTCTTTTCTGTAATTAACAAAATTCTCCTAATACAGTCAAAAGTCTTTAATCCGGACTCGTCGGGACTTCAGCGATTCCAGATTATCGATTTTTCTGGATTATAGATCATCAATTTAAATTTGGTAAAATGGCATGCAGAAATAATAAAATTAAAAATATGAAACCGTAATTTATGAAATAAATAGCAATTATGATCTAAAGGGTATCAAAATTTACAAAAAAAGCTTAATATTTATTTGTTTACTTTATTAAACATATCTTTCAGCACGCGCATGCGTAAAGCATACATTACGCATGGTTGAAATTAGAAAATTGCAACAGGAAAACTATTTGATGTGCATTCGTGATATTTATAATGATGAGGAATTTGATTTAAATCATATCAAAGATGGAGTACATCGAGATGAAATACTACATTTAGTAAGGAATTATAAGTCAAATAAAATAAAAACATCTGCCCTGAAGATAAGAATAGTGCTGACAGATCAACTTCCAGTTCATTGCCTACACGGATGACGAAACACGAATTGAATAATTGAAGAGTTAGGTTTGGAGGCAACTTCCCCTTGATAAGTCTGTCTCCTGCCAGCTCAACAATTATTCACTTACGCATTTTTATAAATTTTTAGAATTAAAAAAATTTATTGGAATTATATATTATACATTTATTATATATTGATAGATTTTGATACTTGCACTTGATTTACATATGCTCTCAGAATTTAAATGATATTGTAGATTAGTTCGTAGCAATAATTAATCATTTATTTGTAATTCAATTTCATTTAAAATTTAATTAGCTTTAAATTTGCTTTTTACGAATAGAGAATGTTTGTTAAATATAAATATAATAAAGTTATTTACATAGTTTCTTTTTCCTCTTTAATGCACTTAAAATCACACTTATAAATTTAATTATCAGCACTGTATGTTATATTTTATGCTATATATGAATTAACTGATTTCTTTCCTTTTATGTAAATGAATGATTATCCCTCCATGTACTGCTCAATTTTGATACATTCCGGTCCTTAAATAGAGCGCTATTTTTTTTTAAATTTTTTCTATATTCATATATTACTATTCACATCTTTTATAAACAAAATTAGTATAATGCAGGAATTTTAACTTTTTTTTTTTTTTTTTTAATTTTTAAAAACGTACAATATGGCTCACACGATTTTAGTGTGCATGGATTAAAAATATAAAAATACACAGGATCTTTTTTATTTGAATAAATATACATGCTAACTAATTTGTTCAGTTAATAATATTACTTGTACTTACTTACTATTATAAAAAATTTTTGTTAGTGTGGTAATAAACTTTGAAACATGCTTCTAAGCATAATCCAACTTTATATTCTTCACACCAAATGCAGATCCCTTTATGTATTGTCTTCTACCTTCCTTTTTTATAGAATTTGGAGGTATGTGGCTTGCAAAATGCCTCCCTACAAAGTGAATAAAGTTCATACTATCATCACTAGACCGTACTGATGAGCATATAGCAGAAATGTATTTGTCAAAGATTTCCTTGATCACAGCTAGCTTGAAATCAAGAAGGGATTTTTTTTTGTGTGTGTTTGTTATTTTTTGTTATTATATACAAATTCCAAATTGCTTGATCCATACAAGATAATATTTTTCCATATATTGGATTGTTTTCGGGTACTAGGCTAGTACGGCATCTCCTGATTGAATCTGTCAACAACACCCATTGTAAAGTTATAATCATAAATCGCTTTTGCTTTAGTTTTTCTTTTGCCATCTTTGAATAAACTGATACAGATGATGCATCATGAAAAGAACTAAGCATATTTACTATTTTCTTATCATTCCACAATGAAAGAAGCAACAGCGTCGATCGTGTTCAGCTGTGAAAAAACAATAGTACTCCCTTACAATGACATAAACCTGTAGCAACATCTAGGTGCAAAACAAAGTGTGATATATGAGGATTATAATATTCTCAGCCTACACAGAGAAAAAGTGGGATCAATATTGAAAAAAGAGAAATAAACTTCACATAATCCGTCTTGCGAAACAGATTTTATATCAGGTGGAAATCGCGTGGGCCATATGCAGAAGGTTATATATGTAACAATAAAAAATATGAAAGCGTCATTCAAATTAATCATGTGATCATACGTAACCCTTAATGCAGATGCCTCTTAACCAATCACCAAATTGCAAACCAAAACCTTTCTCTTCACGTGCTTCCATCTTTCATAGCTACGCACTTCAACTTCAGCTTTCGCTCTCTACTCTGCTATGATGTCATTTTGCTGGCTTGCTTTCTATCTCAAGAATATCAATAGTGTAAATCTTATGTGGAAAGGCACAACTAGTGTGCCAAGTGATTGTGGCTACAACTATAAATTGGAAATAAAAATGCAATTAAAATCACCTCAACTGCCAAGTGTTATTTACAAAGTTAACATTATTAGAACACATTACACAATCAAAATTCTTCTTCAATAGGGATCTAAGCAAGCATCTACACTGCTCCTGCTTTTCCTTGTGCTTTTATTATTTCATATATATATATTACCTTTCTCAATTAATTGTTTTTCTTTCCAGCTTCATTAATTTTATTTTTTTAATTTATATTTTTGATCTATTTTTGTATTTCTATAATTAGCAGACAAAAAGTAATGCTGATTAAAGGAATCAGTTACTTTTTACCGGCTTTCATTACTACCACTATTATTTTTAAAAATTTTATTATTACAACTTTTTTCAAATATTAAGCTGTGAAAAATGAAGTTGTCTTCTGCTACAAAGCTTCCATTACTATTATTATATTAAAAATGAAGGCGTAGAAATGAAACGAAGTTATTGAAAACTTTGCAAATATTATGTTTATTAACAGAACATTGACGGTCTCCTACTGGGTAGTGTCATCTGCTTTGATTGCTCTGATTAGCTCAGTAGCTTAGAACAATTCAGATACAAAATTGCCCAGTGTAGATGAAATGCTGTGACACGTATGTGACAGAGACTTTACTCTATTGCTGAGCACTTTTGTCTCCTCGTGTAAATAGGCCGTAAGTATGCTTAAAACTAATATCTCAGCTTCACTTCAAGACATTAGAATAATTAAAAAAAAAAAAAAGATGTCAAAAAAGTCAAGAGGAAAAAAGTCCAGAAAAGTTATGTAATTCACATGTTACAAGGTTCTTCAAACAAATTGAAAACACAAAATTCTAAAATATTATTAAAAATGATATTAAAAAAAAATCATCAAATATTCAAATACTTAACAAATACAACAATTTGTTGATCATAACCTCATTATTTGTGGTAGCTGAGCAGAGTATCCAAAAGTGTCAGGGAGCCAAAATTCTTTACATCGCTTGCAGAACTCTTGTTGAAAAAAGCGTTGACCATACAGGAACTGACGAACAAATGATTCTCCTCTGCATGATGAAAGAAAAACCCTACTTAAATTTCATGGTAGAATAAAACATAATTTCAATTACAAAACCAACAAATAATTAAAACTTGAAAGGATTTATAAATAATTTATTTTTGAATGTGATTATAAAGAAAGTAAAGGTTCATGTCATTTGAAATGTAATGATATGAAATATTTGCCTACTTGTAATGTGTTCATGATTAATAAGGCAAAGAAATAGCAATACTCACACACTAACCCATTGAACATTTTAGACAAGCAATAACTATTGCCAAATAGTATGATTTAGCACTATTCAGCACGGCATTACAATCCACTCATAAGATCTGTACTTTGGTTACACGGAGCCCCAATTAATTCTTGAAAAACCAGTTAAGTTTTTACAAAGAAAGATATAAGTTAACTAACTCTGTATCTTCATCATGATGAATCTATGATTAAATATATTTTTTTATATTCACCAAACACAAACAACATTCTAACATAAAAACACAAACAACATTCTAACATAAAAACACAAACAATATTCTTCTAAACTAAACCATTTTATTAAATCTTTATTAAAACAACAAACTGCTGTTTCTTTGTTTTTCCCCTTGCATTCTGAAAAAACATCACAGCTTTAAAAAGATCTCGCAGCCTGAGCTTATATTTATTTAATTTTTTTTATATGTGACATCTATAACTTGTATTCATTGATTAACTAACCAAATAAACAGCAATCTGTGATTACCTAACCAAATAAAGAGAGATTTGTAAGTTCTAACCTCCCCTCCCCCAGAATGATTGGCACATATTTGGCTGTATCTCCACCAACTTTCAGTATCAAGAAGAAAATGAGTACCAAAATATCAAAGAAGTATCAAGAGTAAATGTATTAGTAAATGCAAAACAACCTATAGGAGTAAGTTTATTGGAGGAAAAAACGTTAAGAGGTTAAAGAACACATACAGTTTTATTTATTTATTTATTTATTTATAATCATGCAAATCTAGTAAGAAAACCTGCTCGGATTCAACCTTCAATTCCTTTGCATTTGGAGAGATACATATTGGGAAAACAAATTTATTTATAATCCTTTGGACAAAATATTTTATTAATTGGTATTTTCATTTGAATCATATAAACATTTTGTTATATAAACCATACAAACATTTTGTTACAAAAAATCTCAGGCTTTCAGAATAATGAAAATTGCATGGTAAAATATAATGGACAACAAAAAAAAAAGTTTCATTGGACATTTTTTTCATTTTTCATGGAATGATAAAATATTAAATGAAAAAGTGCTTGCTGGAAGAAATTGGCAAATTTTGCCAAATTCTGGGCATTAACCTAGGATTTCATATATCTTTACAGATGTTATTTTAAATTTTTCAAAAAATACGACAGGGAAAAACTTTTCTTCATTTTTATCATATATTTTAAAATCAGTGATGGAAATGCACACAATTTCCATTTCGTTCATTTAAATCTTCCAGAACTAGAAATTAACAGCAGTTTTAAAAATTTATGCAAACATCTCTGTTAGTTATAATGCTGACAAAAAAATAATAAAAAAAATCAAAGTCAAATTACACATAATAAATCTATAATCCTAACAATTCAATTTCTGGAAGCAAGATTTAATCCTCAAAACCAAGAACATTAATTTTAGAAAAACAACCAAAAACTTTCATTTCTATCTAAAAAAGAATAAGTTTTGAAACTAACAATAACTCCCATATCCCCATTACTTGCTCCACATTCCAGATAGTTACTATGTCACAATTAAATGTATAAAAGCATGCACTATGGATATCATCCATTCTGACATTTTCTATTAATTTGCTCAGTTTATCATACAAATGTGCTGTTGTAATTTAAATCATATGTATGCCTTTAAGTGATAAATTAAAATCTTATACAACACGGAATTTTTTTTTCATTTTATACCACATCATATGGCTACATGGAGAACTGACATTCCTCCAGGTTTTAAAAACTGTGTTCTATTTTATTCATAAATATGATTAAAAGCTTTTTTATAAAATTTAACTGCTTGCTTGTGCTAAAACAGGAATATAACAATTTTATAAGTGCACAGTATGGAATGTGTAATGTACTAACTTAAAGGTAATGAAGGGACTGCAACTAACATTGCTTTAAACTAAATAAAATTTTCGCGATTCCGTTTTGAATTGCAGCCCACAGCTCAAAAACCGCTAATTTAACGGATTAAGCAGAAACACATATTAATTTTTTCAAAAAACTTAGCTTTAGATATAATATACATGTAGTAAATATAAGCAGCAAAATACCTCACCAAAAAATTACAAAACTTTCTGATTATCTGCACACCCACGTAAAAGTTGCCAACTCATAGCCAACTTAGAGGAACATTAGAGAACTTGCAGGCAACTAATTTTTTGTCAAGATAATGTGCAAAAGCAACAGCCATTTCCAAAATGCTGATTTGCTAAGAATTCCATATAACAGCAGTCAATCAATAAGATTTAAAAAGGGAGGAATGTCAGTAAACAGTATTAAAACACTTTCTTCTTTTTTTCTTTTTTTGAGAAATCCTTTAATCCATCCTTCTGCATGGACATTGTAGATTACGAAATAACTATTTTGGTGATGTACTGCTCTGCATCATAAATACTTTTTCATGACTTTTCATAGGGGGGGGAATGGAATAGTCAGAAAATATAAAAGTTACTTACCCAGGTAAATTTCCATCCATTTCAACCCAGGTACCACCTACTGGAATGAATTGGCCTTTTGCAACAAAATATTTCACTTTTTCATATAGCGCAGGATAATTTTCTTTAACCCACATGAACTGCTGAGCCTTTAAAAAAAGTGTAAATTCTAAATTAAAACCAAAGTAAAGATTACCTAATTATTTTTTTATGAATGGAAAACAAAGAAAATATACATTTCTATTATCAAAGACAAATTTTTAATAAAAGAAGAGTAAAGTTTATATATAAAAAATATTAAAAATGATTGGCATTACCATGATATAACATGAAAATATAATACTAAAAGTATTGTAAAGGTACAAAAAAAAAAGATTTTTTTCTCAAAGGGGCAATTTGCCCAGAGAGGCTATTAATTTCGTATTGGCATTTTGTGTTGAGTCACTATAAATGGTGAATCACTTTTTAAATTGTTGCCACCAAATATTACAGTTCTGTATTATATTTAAAGAAATTAAATAATGAAGAATCTGCATAAATGTATGTAGTAGGGGAGTTGAAGATGTTAAATAACAATCCCAACTTTGTTTTCCACACCACAGAACATTTAATAAAGATAATCAGAAAAGGTACAAATTAGATTAAATACAAGTGCCGTTTGATACAAAGAGGATTCTGTATAGCTTTTACCAGTCTTATCACATAACCGATTAGTGCCTACTCGCATTTGCTGATGTATTAAACAGTACAGTCCAATTTACCACCTTCGCGTGGAAAACTACAGTTCCTTATTCTACACCTTCACGTGCAGACAGGCATCTCACCACCTTCACGTGGGATAGCAGAAGAGTCTCTCTGTCTATGTCATACTCATCTTTCACCTCGCTGCTGGCGCATCGGTGAGGCCCTCTGGTGGTTGTGTCGCACTTACAGATACTACAGCTATGTATGTTTCTTGCATTGTGATAGAACAATGGTACCTAGAGCCATCAAATTTTGAATAACGTACAACTCCACCCGATATGGGCAACTGGAAGCCCGAATTTGGAATTTGTTTTATTATCTATTTCATATTTCATAAAGCATTTATGAGTTTGTAGGGTTTATATTTATTTTAAGCTATCTTTCCTGTCAAGCCTTTACTTTCCCCTAGAATTGCCAATGCCAGAGTATGTAAATCGTAGTAGAACGTGCAGAGTATTCAAATTTTATCAGAAGTAAATTGAGTTAAATAGAAGGGAAACGAGATTGTAAGTGTGCTTCTTGAATCGTGAGTGTGAAGGTTGCTAGGTAGAAATTTTAAGAACTGTGCGTTTCGGCCTGTGTGCCTATTTCGGCAGTTCGTTGAATCTTTCAACTTCTTAATCAGAAAGTTTGCTGAATCTTAGTTGTATCTTAGAACGCGGTTAAGTTAGTTACGATTATAGAGCCTCGTAGGTAGTGATTTCGTTATTTATTCATCCTGTCATTTATTTTTAGTTGCATTTTTGCCTATTTTGTTAAACCGCCGGGTCGGCGTAGTTTGTGAGCGTCAAGTGAACGCACTGCTTATTCTAAAGTGGAATAAAAAGGGATTTAAACCCTTCTTACGAGTTTGTGTAATTTACAGTTTATAGCAGTCACTACTACTGTTGCTGACCAGTTGGGGCCTCGCAACATTATAAGTTTTTGATTAAAAAACTCAAAAATTCAAAGTGAGCAATGGCGACACTGTACCGAAAAAAGAAACATTTTTATTTCCAGCATGCAAGATTGTGTAACGGAAATTCTAAAGATATGCTCTTTTAAATATTTTGCTATATTGCTGTTGAATTGAATTTTATGGTTTAAGAACATGATATTTAATAAATAAAGGTAACATACAAAATTTTTTTAAAAACGTTTCTTTGGGCTTAATATAAAACCTAAAAGTTTCAATATATTCCAAAAATAAGTATTGCTCTCTTCACCTTTTATACATATATATATATATGTTACAGTAAAAGTAATAAACTGGTGATTATTTATAATCACCAGTAATTATGCATAATCACCATTAAATTGAGTAAATATGATAAATTTTGAAAGTTTATCAAATTAACCGGTTTGTTTGCATAATTCCCAACTCGTAATGGTAAATGTGATAAATATCATGACTGATTGGGCCAGTAGAATAGAGTGAAGTTTGTTTTTAGTAGTTACTACTCAGAAAGATATTTTTTCTTTGGACACTATGGTGTAAGAGACCACAAATTACAATATTTTATATTTTACAGTTAAAAAGTCAATAAATGGTCACATGCATTTATTTAGTCTGAACGAAATTTGAATAAGGGACTGACAGGTATTGTGAAATGAAAAAAAAAAATAATAATAATTAAATGAACTTGTACAAAACAGCTGTACATAAAAAAACTGCAGTTACATATAAAAAACAAACTAAGCCCATATTCTATAGAAAAAAATTTCAATTATACAAATTACTAAATATTTTAAGTTTACTTATTTAAGCATATTAGACTTTTATGACATTTAGAATTACAAAGTTTGCCAGATTTACATTTGCACTTATCAGACTCGCATTGTCCCTTACAAACACATTGCTGATATTCCTGACCTCCAGAAAGAGGTGTCTTTCTCGACGTGACATTGCTAGATCTGAAACATCGTCAAGTAAAATAAAATTTTATTCACAAGTTGTGAATTTATTTCTGGTATACAACTGTGAAAGTCTTCCTTATTTCATTCCTAACTGATAAAACTCTTCATTTTGAACTTCTAATATCACTGATATTAAATTCCAGGGATCACTTCTTGCTCTGTCAACGTCTGGCATTCGTAGTTTCACTGAGTACTAACTTTACCAGCAGGAAATTTAAGATTTGACATTTTCTTTGCATGTAATTCTAAAACTTCTTCAGCCCTCATTCTATGTCTTCTAACTTGCAATTGCCTGCATAATATATCTGTTTGGATTAGAGCGACCACTGCTTCATTCTTTTTCCACGTCTTAAAATTAACTTCAGGTGGAGGGTCATTTTCAGATAGATTGTTATTGTCCATATTAGAAGCATTTTCTATTTTGCCATTGGTGTTTTCAGAAGCATTATTAACTGTCTCGATTAATGCCTCAAGCTCTTCTTCAGTTCTAAGTTGTTCGATAAAGTCATTTCGAAAAGAAGATGCTTTCAAGCCAAATTTTACAGGCATCTCAAACATTGCTTCATACGGAGAACACTTGATGCTTTCATGAAATGCTCTATTTTTTATAAGTTGCACTAAATGTAACCTTTCAGAACATTTATTGGTATGACTGCTTTCCAACCAAGTACTTAGCATATTTTCAATATCCTGGTTGGTACGTTCAACCAAACCTTGAGTCTGGTTGCGCGTAGGTTTCCCATGCACAACTTTCAGATTTGGCCACTTTGCACAAGCTTCTTCTATGATTTTGTTACTAAACTCACGACCATTGTCACTTTGCAGTACACTGGGGGCTCCAAATATAGTAAAAATATCAATTAGGTGATATGCAACCTCTTTTACATGTTTGCTTTTTAGGGCACGCAACTGTATAAACTTTCTCAAGTGGGCCTGATAGACAAATATAAACTTAAAGTCATTATCTGGTTGTGACTGCATGTCAATTAGGTCCACTACCTGGCATCTTGAGTTCATCTCTTGGAAGACCATTGACCTAACAGCAAGTTCTTTCTTAAGTACCTTGTTTTTTTTTTTTTTTTTTTTTTTTTTTTTTTTTTTTTTTTTTTTTACAACATTCACACAAATTTAAGTAAATCATGACTTCTTTACTAGTTATGTTTTTGTACTTTTTCTGAAGTTCTTTTAACATCCTGTGTCTACCCCATGGCCTATTGATAAGTGCATCCCATGAATTATGGTAAAAAGTTCTTCAAAGAACACGTAAAATCTAACACTGAATCTAACATCACTTATGGGAAAAATAAGTTTTTCAACTTTCTAATAAATAAGTTGTCTACTTTCATTACATCGCATCTTTTTAGTCTTTGATAATCTTCCGGTTTTTTCCCACTACTTTTGCTTTTTACTATTATTCACTTTTTTTTAACAAATTGTTTTATATTATAATTTTCTATATTTTATCGTTTTTTTATATATTATTGTTTTGCATAATTTAATTTTAAATTTTAATATATAATCACCAGATTAATCATATTTACCACAACATGTATATTTATACATATAAACATATATTCAAAAAATGTGAAATGACAAAACATTATTCTCATGAGTTTTTGGTGGTTGTATGAAAAGATTCCAGTTCCCCTTGAAAAGTCGGGATCTTTCTATGGAATCAACAACAAAATAATTCTCTTATTTTTAACTATTTAAATTTATATTTGATAAATTAAGCATTTTAATTACCAATTCCATTCCGATAAATCACAAATTCCGATTTTTGATTTCTACAAAAGTATGCATCTACTATCTAAATCTGACTTGACTTTTCTTAGGAGATAATTATTCATTTATATATTCTCTATCAAAATGTTTAATCTTTGCAGCAATTGTGCAAGATTTTACTTTAAGTCTTTTTTGAAATAAATTTTAAAATTCCTTAATTTTAAAGTTTTTTTCCTTGTATTTCTTTGCCAAAGTGAGGGAAAATTTTTATTATTTTGTGAGGCTTTCAGATTTCAATAGAAGCACAGTTTAGAGTGCTATAAGTAGAAACTTCCTGTAGGTAATTCTTCTAATCTAATATACTTTTGTCGGACATATTCAGATATTGTGTCCCTTAATGTACACTTGTTTTTGATGCTACAATCCCTTAACGTTGAAAATAATCCACTGCATGCCGTTCTGAAGAAGACATGTTCAAAATTTTAATCTTTTTTCCCCTCCAAAATGCAAGGAAAAAATTCAGCTATAATAATTAAATTATATCCTTGTTCGTAAACCTGGGCCACACTAACCACATCTTTACAGTTCCCAATAGATGTTAACTGTTGCCATATTTTTTTTTAATATTCGCAACACTATTCCTATAAAAGTAATGCACAGCCATAATATTTAGTGGCAGCATCCTTTTATTTGTAAAGTCATTCAACACATGAGTGAAATAGATACAAAATACAGGCTTGAGAACAATACATGTAATTGCTTCATGAACACATCTTATGTTCCTAATAAGCTTATTTTTATTTATTTGGCATAATTCTAACAATACATTTAATGCTTATAAAAGTAATATGTTTAATATAAAAAGTAGTAAATAAAAGAATAAATAGTAATTAAAAGATATATTATAAGTTGTGACTTTGAGTATTCCTACAATGGATATAAAATATATTAATGATTTAAGAAACTGAATAATTATAATAAAATTGATATTATAATTTAAAAATGAAATGTACACAAAAAGTAATTTAAAATTATGATTGAGCAGTATTATGTTATTAATAACTGCATGTTAAATTTACAGTATATTGAGGAAGTACTGGTTTAGAAACAGAGGCTTCTTTTTTTTTTTTTTTTTTTTTTTTTTTAAAAAAAAAGAAAAAGAAAAGAAAGAACATGAAATAATAACAAATGAAACCATAATTTCAGTAATAATATTACAATAATTATGTTGTAATGCAAATTAATTATAAAAATTAGGGTGTTATAAATTTTTGATATTTGCTGTGATTATCAAGATAAACAATGGGTGTATACAAATTTTATATTGTAATGTTCTGTGAAAAGTTTCAAAAAACTTCCCTGGGGAAATTATGTTTATGTGAACTCTAAAACACAAAGATTCTTATATTAAAATGCTGAAAATTTTAATGAGACACTAAAAATAGCATTTATTTTTAAAAAAATCTTATACTCAAAAATTGTATTTTTCAATTATTTAAAAAATTACTTTGGTCAAAATTTTACGATTTGTATTTTTCAAATTATGTTTCACTATATCTACTAACACATCTTTATATCTGCTCTAAAAAAGACTTTTCTGTCACTATTCCTTTTTTACTTTGATTTGGAGGGAGGGCAAATAAGTGATAGGGGGACCGGAAAATAATGTCTTTTCTGCGCATGTCCGACAATAACTTGCTAAGGGCAGAAGTGGAAGCAAATCCATGTCAAACACTCTAAACCAACCTTGGTCGACCATCCAAGAACATTTAAAGCAGAATGGAAAAATAAGCAAAGCAGGTGTTTGAGTACCCATAATCTGTCCGAAAAGAACAAAGCCAACCTATCCATCACATGCAACGTATTGCTTCAATGGCACCGTACAGAACTGTTTTTTGATCGGTTGATCAGTGGAGACAAATAAATAAGTCCTATATGATAATCCAAAACTCAAAAGGCAGTTTTAATAGGGGTTACAAAGGGTTTACATCCCGAAAAGGGGCTTCTGGGTGTTTGATGAAGCATTCGCAGAATTGTGCATTTTGAATGGCTGAAAACTGGAAAAACTGTTAACTTTATTGTGAACAATTGGATGGAGTGAACCAAACTTTAATCAAAAAATGTTAATTGTCAACAGAAAAGGCGTCATTCTGCAACACAACAATGCAAGACCGCACTGTGCAAGACGAACACTGGAAAAAATTAATGAATTGGGGTGGGAGGTACTGCCATACTCACCCACATACTCGGCCGATATCGCAGCATTGGATTTCCATTTATTCGGATTCCTACAACATTTTCTTAGTGGCAAAAAATTTGAAAATTTGGATGGTGTCCAAAATGTCCTCTTGAGATATTTTACTCAAAAACCAATTGATTTTTATTGGTCCGGGATTGAAAATCTGCACATTAGATGGCAAAAGGTTGTTGATAACGAGGGTGATTATATTATTGATTAAAGATAAAAACTTGTTAAAATGTATTTGTTTGAATTTAATGTAAGAAAGTGACATCACTTTCCGGTTCCCCTATTATAATAAAAAAAATATAAATCAAAATTCAAATTTAAAGTTGCAATAGGCTGTTAACTCTTCACTTTAATTTGGGTATTTTCCTTTTCTATTCTCAGAATAGTAATTGCTTGTAATAAACTTTTCTTCACTTCATCATTTCTGAAGCTCAAAACAGGTGATAATAATTTTAAAGTGCTAATAATTAGTTAATCAAACAGCATTGAAATTGAAACTAATTCATTCTAGCTTATATTTTGCCCTGAACACAACACACTTCACTCTGCTTATCAGCCTAACGAGCTGCTGCTAAGCTCTCTTCTTACCACAGTGATATCAAAAATGTAAATTTTCTGGAAAAGGCAGAATTAGTGTGTTAAGTTATAATATCTATTAAAATAAAAATGAATACTAAAATCTGCATGATTAGTATTCATTTTTATTTTAATAGATACAGTGTCTTATTACATATGGCTCTAGGAATTTCTAAATATGAATCAACAAAAATGCAAAAAAACTTTTTCTATATTATTGCATATATTTACTAATTCAACATCAACTTTTTCTATATTATTGCACATATATACATCCATACACACATATGTATTTATTCAATATAAAACTTAATCCTTTGAGCAGACAAGCCTTTTGAATGGCTTAAGAGCGAAAATTTTCCATTGCACAAAAAAACTGCATATTAAACATTTTGACATAAACATTGAAATGAACACTTATTAAATACCTGAGAGCAAGCAAATCGAAAATTTGGATATCTTTCCATCAAACAAACTACTGAAGACCAACTTCTGGCACATTTGCGTACTGTTTCTTCATAAGGCCAAAGCCACGCACAATCAATATGACAATTGCCAATGGCTATGATTGTATGTTGACTTTCCCCATTGTGTTGAGAGAAAAATTTTGTACTCAATTCTTTGGCACTTGCATAGCTGTCTCTGGAACTTTAAGGAAAATATTACAATGATTTTCATACAAAAATTATGGTTGCAATCAACTTTTAATTAAAACAATTAATTACTCACAATTCTTCTTTCTGAATAATATTGATCATTTCATTGGCTGTGTACAGGGCATCATAACTACGAACAGATTCTGCAGGTAAATGTTTTGCTATTCCATACAGCACTTCAAAATCCATTACCAAGTCATAAACCTGAAGCAAACAATTGTTATTAAAAATTATAGAAAAAAGGAACATAAGAGAAAAAAAACAATTTAAATTATATTAATTTTTTATTAACACTTAAACTATATTTTATGATCTGATTCATTATGGCTACTGCAAATTACTATTTGCATGGTCAAGAGATTAGCACTAGTTTGACAATGTAACTTAAAAGGAAAAAAGCAATTCAGATGTGTGAAGAACAACTACATACTGTCAAAATCTTCTCACTTACATGGGTATAATTACTGTAATTAAAATCACTATGATGCAAATTTGATATTTTGTGGCATGACAATGCCTAGTTTATTTATTTTAAGAATATTCAGATAAATTCGCATGAGAAAATTAACAAAGATCTCTTTAAATAACACCATCCAAAACAAAAAAAATTCGAGAATAAGAAAAACAAGAATAGAAAAAATTCAAGTATTTTAAAGAATCATACAGGCTTGTTATTATATGCGAATATGCCTAATTCAGATGTGAAAGAAAATAAGACAGTTTTCATACCTTTTATTATATTTATTGTACAATATAATTTTCATCGTTGCTTATGATTATATTGCCAGATTATAATAATTTGATATACCATCTTTTAATCAGAATAATACATTCAGAAGTGAAAGAAAATAATACATTTTCACACCTTTCATTATATTAATTGTACAATATAATTTTCATTGTTGCTTATGATTATATTGACAGATTATGATAATTTGATATACCATTTTTTTAAAATGGCTTGCCCTTAGAAGCAAACAACTCAAGTAGTACTTGGCTGACATTCACTTCATTTTTTAATTTTTCTTCCCTCAAAAAATTTTGCAAGAGACAAGCAAGTGATAATCAGAGGATGCTAGGTGGATGGTGGAAGCAGCTGAATTTCCTAGCCTAGCTCTACAATTTTCTGACGAGTTATCAAAGCATCATGTGGTCTGGCATTATCATGATGCAGTAAGTAGCATGATGCAGAAGAGGGATGAAAACCTTACAAACTTTCTTGCTTACCTGATATATCAAATATCAGATTTTCATTGAATTTTTTATACACATTTATTTGCTTGAAAATTAAAATTATAGGTTGATATATTCTCTTTATCATTCTTTATGCATGTAAATCCTTTAATACTTAAAAACAGTCTACTAGTATTACTTTAAAACATTACAAAAAGTATGTAAATACATTTCCTCCACACAGAGGTGATTTTGATAACGTGTGAAATCTACTCGACATAAAAACTCTGTAACAGTGGGGTTAAATCATAATAAGAAGTTATCATGGACTCACATTTTCGAACTGGAATATTTAAATACAGTTAAAACTAACAACCATAAAATGCACAATGTATACAAAATTGTGCATTTTATGGTTAAAGAATGAATTTCGGACAAGGTGAATGGGCAAATTAAGCAAAAAATATCCCACACTATGAACAGCACAGGAATTCTGCCACAGGGAGTACATGAGGGGCTAAATTTGTTTTATTTTCTGTTTTGGCATCCTATAATGGCATTCAATTTACTTTTTTTTTTTTTTTTTTCTTTTTAAAGTGGTTAAACAAAGAGTCAAAGCAAAAGAAACCATAAATAAACATAATTCTTAATATTTACATATCTAAGAATTGGAAGCTCTCATTAAAAAAGAGCATAAGGGACCTCATCAGAAGAAAGTTTCTTCTGATGAGGGAGACCATAGAGGGTCTATATTTACTTCAATCGTGGAATTTCTGAAAAAGAAGGAAGAGGACTAGGTTACAGCTAAGACCTCCGAATTAAGCTAATACAGTAAGTGCTTGATAACAGAGCAGTGCAGTACTTCAAGTTCGCCCAGGTGAAAAGGTAGAAACAAACCACTTTGGATAAAGTCTTGAAAATTGGTTTTTTTAGTAAACCAAAGGTAAATGTACAAGAAGGCCATGGACAGGTATATCTTCCATTGCCAGTAGACAACTGAGAAGAAATCAAATTAAACTAAATTTTAAAAATGTACATACAAATAATTTTATGCAAATAATTTTATAAAAAACTAAGAAACTTCTAAAATTTTCACCACTGGCAGTTTTATATTCTTTGAAATTTTTTTATGTCGTTTTGCAGTTCTGGACCAGGCTCAAGAACAGATTAAAATTACTTTTATGATAATCTTCGAAAAACAGTGCCCCATATAAAAATATTAATAAAATAATAGTTATATTTTTATGTGCATAGCTATTAAAAAAACTTAATTTTTATTACCTGTCTATCAAAACATGCAATGTCAGCCATTTCCAACGTAAAATATCTCTTACGATCAGGAGGAGATATCATAGTAGGAGATCCACTGCCTAATAGAGTGTTACAAGCCATCTCAATATAAAAGGTTTGCCGAAGATCTTCTAATGTTGCATTTTTACAAACAATGAAACTTTGTCGATCAGATCCTAAAACATATCACACTTGTTAGCAATTAGCAATAATGTATAATATCTAGTAAATATTAAATTGCATCTAAATAATATACTTTGAAGGCATTGAGATTTTATATGTTTTGATATCCGAGACAAAGATGTCAATACCAGTATTATTTATGAAACTACATTGCAGGCTCTAGAATACGTAACAAAGTGAAACAGCTAGAGGGAGCTAAGAGAGATGGTCTGCCCGCAGCAGGAAATTTTTCAGGCAGATATTTTTCATGTGAAGTACCGTTTTATTTGATTAGTTGTATGGATGATCAGGGCCAAAAGAGGTTTACTGGATAATGTAAAAGTTCACTGTGGTTACCTAACAGTGGGATTACTTTGTGGAGAGCTAAAGACCTCAAAAAAGAGCTTAGAAATTGAAACTGGCTCATATTTTCTTTGCAAAAGGGTAACAACTGATATTCATATTTTACATAGGATAAATTAAGAAAACACTCATGCAGCTGCTACAATCTTAAGGATTTTACCCTAGGTAAACCTGCTAGTAATTAGCAGTCTTATTCACTCAGCAATGTGATATGAAGCCTCCCAATATGCTAAATTGTCATATAAAATTCAATTAAGAGTAGGATTTTATTTATTTATTTAATTTTTTTTCTTGCCACAGTATTCAAAGAAATAAGATTTCAACAGATTCATATTCGTGCAATGCCTTCCTTACTCAATCAAAATCCTTTAATCAAAAACATAATGTCAATTAAATAAATACCACAACAGCATAAAAAAAAAAAAGAGAATGAATTTTCACTGAGTGAGAAACATTTCATCATTTTAAACCTTTGCTGTTCATTCTAAAATCAAGTCTCCAGAATACAGTTCCAAATATTTAATACCACTGTGTTCCCCCCCCCAGTTGCTGTGCACTTCACTTTTCACGAAAGGAGTTTTTTAAATACAAACCAATTAAAGTACATCTAAGGTCTAAAAATGAGTATCTCACATTTACAAAATTCTTACAGTACTGTCTGTGGACAGCAAGCAGTATAATGAAAGAAACTTTAGAATATCACTAGTCATTTTGGTAAGAGAGAAATGAGAAAACTAGCAATTTAGAATGCTGGAATTAAACTTCAAAAATAAACACAGCTTTTATTTATTTTTCTGCAAGTCATTTTGCTATTTTAAATTTGGTACTTATGGAAAATCCACTTTGGTACTTATGGAACACCAATCATTTTGGCAACATAAAATCTGCAGTTGCACGCAAAATAGAAACAAATATGTCTTTTTCTTTGAGAAGACAAACTTTACCACATGAATTCAACCACATAAGAATCAAAGTATTATCCCACTGTCCCACTTTGTCTTTTATTCTGTCATTTTGCCCAACTCCACAATTGCTCAATGTTTTGTGTATGCACTCCGGTGTCCAGATCTAATAGTTATACTTATAAACTTTGAAATTAACAATTTTTATTTTGTTGCTTTTATAAACTTTCCGAGAGTTTGCATATACTGTAGAACCTTCTTCAATGTTATCTTTTATTGCTTGAATAAGCATTATCTGGAACTTTTACCAGAAAACACCTATTTATTTCCTTGCATATGCCTCCAAACAACCATTGCTTGGGGGTTATTATCCCTACATCCCTACATTGTTTTTACATTTTGAGAAAAGGCTCTCATCAGTTTCATAAACGAGACTGGTCCTTCCAATTTTTTTGCTATGCCTTGTTTAAAGACTTTGTGTACAAACTTCTTATAAATAACTGTTCAAGTTGATAACAGTATTGTCACTCAACTCTTATTCTTCTTTTCCTGATTCTATACTAGTTAATTCTCAAAGCCAGCAGTAAATGAATCTAAGTGCAGTCACAAATGCTGAACCCTCAAACTATGTTTCTTTCCGAATGGATATTCAGCTCTGACGAGTCTTAATATTAGAATGCCTTGAATCTGTGTTTTTAAATAAAGCACTATACTGTACATTAATGCATCATTAATTTATTTTTTGGATGACAGTAAGGCTCCATACCTTTGAAAGAATAATACTGCTTCTTGTTCTGTAGTTGGTAAATCCCAAATTTTAAAAATGTTTTACGACTCAGAGCTATAACAAAATTTAAAAAGAGCAACAGCTTTACTACAAGAGCTAGAAAGAAACTCTTATTCAGATCACATTGAATCATGTGTGGTCCATTTTATCCTTATTGACTAAAATTAAAACATATGTGGCAGGTTTTATCATAATTGGTGAAAACTCGCATTCATTTGGCAAAAATGATTGACTGAATTTTCTGTACGTACTTATGCTTGTTTGGGGGGGGGGAGGGTGCACTGAGAGAAACAGATTATCCCCAGCAGCAAAAGCTCAAGCTATGCCACTGAAGTAAAGAGCAAACATTATATATTTGACAACATGTCATAAATGAAATAGTAGTAAATCCAATATGTATATAAAAGTAAAACAATCAGACATGAAATATATTACAGCTGTCCCTTAAAGAAATGTACATACAGAAAAAAATAAGAACATACTGTAGAAATCCATAATTTAACTAATGAAGGGCATTGTGTCCCTTTTTTAGAAACATATATTAACCAAACAGAAAACATTCAGTTTATGAATGCATGTCTTCAATGATCTAAAGACTTTTTTTCAAAAATCTTCAAATTAGATATTACTGATATAATTATAGGAAAATAATATTATGATAAAAGAAACACATATCAATAGTTACATTCAAGTAACAAATAGATATTACACTGACAATAACTTAAGCATGTAACCAATAAATAACACTTCTGACAATTCATGCAAATACGGTAAAAGTAAATTTACGGGTACCCCTGAGCGAAAATTGGCGATTTTTGGCTGTACATGGATACTGAGTTTGTGCAATTCTTTGACTTGTTATTTTGGCTTTGTGTAGCAGCAATTTTAGCACCAAAAATTGCAGCTACACAAAGACAAAATAACAAGTTGAATTGCACAAACTCGGTATCCATGTACACTTTGACCTATTTTCACACACACAACAACAAAAAAAAAAAAAAAAAAAAAAAACAGAATTGCACAAACTAGGCATTGCACACTCCCTTAACTTTATCCATGTACACTTCGACCTATTTTCACTTTAAAAAAATCAGATAATTGCACAAACTTGGCATTCTGCACTCCCTTGACTTTGTCCATGTACACATCAATATATTTTCACTTAAAAAGTCAAAGGAGCAACCAATTCTAGGTAAAAGTATATTTACAAAACATTCAACTACTCAGGTTACCATAAATGAAACAACAACTTGGTGATAAACAAAACAAAAACTTGGCGATAAATGAAACAACAACTTTGCGATAATACAAGGGATAAGTTTCAGTCTACTTTAACCGAAAATACTTTTAAAATTCTATATAATATAGAAAATTTTAAGACAATTTTTTTAATTTCAAAAATTTTAAATCCTATTATTAAGACATTCAGAATAAGGAATTAAAACTATATATTCAGTACAAAGTCCAAAATCTGGACTTCCAATATCCAAAATTATCTAAAATCGGGACCACCAGCATTTTTTTTTTTTTTTTTTTTTTTTTTTAGCGTTGTGCACGCACATTTTTCATAACTTTTAATAACAAACAAACTTGTACTTCAAAGTAAAATATCTTCATACTGAAGAAACACAATCATTTATTAGCATAAATATATGTGATCAATAATTTGGCTCTGTAGCCACCATTTTTACTTGGATACATCTCAAACTTAAACATTCTATATTGAAACATCATTGATACTGAGATCACATGCTAGTTTTTGAGTTTCAGAACAAGAAAAATTATATCCCTGATGTCAACCTAGCAAATCACTACTTATTATTCTTTGCTTTCATCAATGCATGACTGTCAGCATATAGCAGCTTCAGAAATGACTCATGCAGTGATGTTTAAACATTCTCAAAATATTAGTAACCAAATATCAAACAGCATGGTAACTTTTGATGTTGACATTACACTTGGTGATGATTACGGACTTCATCTAACTGAACAGCAGAGCAGAGTGTATGGATGAGGAAAAATTCAACAGAATATTTCTATATACAAAAAAGAGAGAGAGATTTTGTACATGATACTCATAGCGCTGCCTGAATTACATTTAGTGCTATATTTAGTGCTGCCAAATTTCTAATTAATGGAATATATGAATAAATATTGATAAGTGGTAAAAAATGACTGCGCTATAGCAGAAGTTTTTCGTTGCAATGAATATGTCCTAATCGTCAATTAACTAGTGAACCACAAAATCTGTAGTATAGTTCTAAAGTCAGAAAATATTACTACCAATAGAGAAGAAAGTGGCAGATAGGTTGTTGAAAATACACAAATTTCTACTAACAATTTAGTCAGAATTCTCAACATGGCAATTAGAGGACTTGAAAAATTAAACTTTATAACTTAATAAGAAATTATACCTATCTATAGAATTAAAGAGAAAATATTAGCAAAAAAATGAAGCAACTTAAACAATTTACATTGAAAGAAATGTTTAATACAGCAAAAAAATAAATATTAAGGTTTTTTGGGAGAGGTTGTGGTGATGGCGATAAGGAGCGCGCCTTGTGCCCTCCAATAAGTGTGGCAACCCTAGAGGAGAAGTTTCTTACGAGTAGCGAGCAGAGCGAAACAGGCAGGCTGTCGGGCAAAGTTCCTAAATAAAGCTTAATTTTTATTGTGCACTATGTCTCGTTAATATTTATATCAATGCAGTAGGAACATAATCTGTGATATGGAATTCGAGGATTGGTGGTAAAAACATAACAGGAAATTTCCATAATGGTCACCCGGACTGTGTTAAATCGTATGACCAGTTCTCAAGCACTTTCGGTTTTGACTACAAGCCATCACTCAAGATCTCCAAACCAGAAGTAATGGATTACATCGGTTTTCATCCTCCGAATCACAGATGAGTAGTAATTATAGATCATTTTATAATTCTGTTTTCTACTTATCATTTAATTTCATTTTCTTTAGTTAAATTTTCCTTTTATTTTGGCTTAAAAACCTTGCACAATGTCTGATGTTCATGCCGTCCAAATTCCGGTTTATAACCGATCAGACCCATCTTTATGGTTTATTATGTGTGAAAGTACTTTTGCTCTTGCCACCCCCAAACCTAGCACAGAATCCATTACTAAATATAATTATGTAGTTGCTCATCTTCCTCCAGATATTGCATCTCAATAGTACGGGATTTACTTATGAAACCAGACCCTATTGATCCATATGCAAAGCTTAAACTGAGTTAATTTAAATCGTTCAGGAGAATCTTCTCAGCAAGAAATTCGCCAGTTATTATCTGGAGAAGGAATTATGGCTCTCGAAAACCTTCCGATTTGCTTAGAAATATGAAGCGTCGAGCAGAATCTTTAAATGTTCCTGATAACTTAATGTTAGAATTATTCCTTCAACGTTTGCCTTCGACTGTTCAGTCTATTTTGGCAGCGGTGTCGAATTTAACTGTAGATAAAGCTGTAGAAATTGCCGACAGAATTTTAGAAGTAAATCCAACCCCAGGGACTTGTGCCGTTTCTCGCACAGTCGATCAGTCTCTTGAGGATAAATTATTTAAATAAATAGAAAAATTAAACGTATTGATCGCATTTCTCTTTCTCGTGGTCGCTCGCCAAATCGCGGAGATCGCAATAAGGAAAGAAGCAATTCCAAAAGGAGAGATTATTCTGTTTGCTGGTATCATAGACGTTTTGGGAAAAAGTGTAGAGATGACAAATGTACAAAACCTTGTTCATGGCAGGGAAACGAAACCAGCAAAGAATAGAGGCGACTTATTCTTTGCCTCAAGTTTCACGTCGCCTGTTCGTTCGTGACCGTAGAACAAACCTTTCATTCTGGTCGATACCGGCTCTGACGTGTCCTTACTCCAGCAAATAATTCTCAAAAACGGAATTCGTCCCAACAAACACTTTTCGCTGCTAATTCTTCTACTATTCATGTTTATGGTCAAAAAACACTTTCTTTGGATTTCAAATTAAGACGACAGTTTACATGGACTTTTCTTATAGCAAATGTTAGTACACCCATTCTTGGAGCAGATTTTCTCCATTTCTTTGAATTGGTGCCTGATCTCAGAAACAAATGTCTCAAAGATTTAAAAACGCATTTTAAAACCGTCGGTTGCGTGAAAAATGCAAGCATTTATTCAGTAAAAGCTGTATTTAGTGATACACCATATCACAAAATTTTAAAAGAATTTCCTTCAGTTACTAGATTACCAGATCCTAACCAACCTGTTAAACACAACACCGTTCATTATATCATAACTAAAGGTCCACCTGTGGTTGCAAAACCTCGTTGGTTAGCTCCAGATCGCTTAAAAATAGCAAAACAAGAATTTCAAACTATGATGCAATTGGGGCATACTCTACTAATATTAGGCATGTGCAAGGTTCAAAAAATGTCGTTGCTGACGCTCTTTCAAGAATCGAAATTGATTCCATAACAAAATCTACATTTTTGGATTTTAAAAAATTTTCGGAAGCTCAACGGCATGATCCGGAGGTACAAGACCTTCTCAAAAACAACACACATCATCTTTGAAACTGGAATTTAAACCGTGCCAGTATTCTGATGGTAATATTCTTTGTGACGTGTCAACAGACATTCCTCGTCCATTTGTTCCGAATTCCTTTCGCAGACTTATCTTTAATCATCTGCATAATCTGTCACATCCAGGAATTGCAGCTACTACGAAGCTTATTTGTTCTCGTTATGTATGGCCCGATATGAAACGTCATATCAAAAATTGGGTGAAATCCTGTGAATCTTGCCAAAAATCGAAAATTACTAGGCATACTAAAGCACCACTGGGCACATTCTCTCTTCCTGATGCACGTTTTTCAGAAATCCATATGGATATCGTTGGACCGTTACCTCCATCAGAAGGCAACGTGTACCTTTTGACTCTAATAGATAGATTCTCCAGATGGCCTGAAGCCATTCCCATCCCGGATATGAAAACGGAAACCATTTGCAGAGCCATCTTCAACTGTTGGATATCTCGTTTTGGCTGCCCATCGATCATAACAACAGACCAAGGTTCTCAAATGAGATCCGCACTTTTTGCAGAATTCACGCGCATTTTGGGTACGAACAGAATCACAACAACAGCCTATCATCCAATGTCAAACGGCATTGTTGAACGATTTCATCGACATTTAAAATCTTCTCTCAAGGCTCACGAGACCAATAACTGGACTGAAACACTACCAGTTGTTATGCTTGGTATTCGGACAGCCGTAAAGGAAGATCTACAGTCATCTTGTGCTGAACTTTTGTACGGCACAACTCTCAAGCTGCCTAGTGATATGATAACGTCATCTAAGATATCTCCGTATGACACACAATTTATCACGAATCTTCGGCATAGAATGCAACAGTTGAATCCAATAGCAACATCTGCACATTGCCAAGAAAAATGTTACGTAAGTGCTACCTTAAAGTCGTGTAGGCATGTATACTTACGTGTCGATCGAGTAAAGCCACCTCTGTGCCAACCATATACAGGTCCACATAAAGTTCTTTCTAGAACGGACAAAACTTTCACAATTGATATTAACGGTCTGAAATCTACTGTGTCTATAGACCGTGTGAAACCAGCCTTATTTGCTTTCGGACTCTAATTTGCCTGAACTGAAAACAAATAAAGACTTAAAGACAGTTCAGCAGAATAAATCTGCAAACGAACTCTCTAAGACACAAACTGTCCACCAGATCGGGAAGACATGTTCACTTCCCTAAGAAATCTTGCTTCTTACATAACAATTTAAAACACTTTTTTTTTAAAATTCATATCTTAACATATTACTTTTGTTATTTCATGTTTATTATATGTGTCAATACCTTGTTATATATTGAATTGCATTTTGATCTTTTCTAATTTTATATTCTAATTTTGTAATCATAAAAAAAATACCCGACAGCACGGATACTCTGAGATAATTTTCATAACCTATGTCGTTCCTTTGAATAGCCATTAAAGGAACTGGGGGGGAAACTCTGTGGTGATGGCGATAAGGAGCGCACCTTGCGCCCTCCGATAAGTGTGGCAACCCTAGAGGAGAAGTTTCTTACGAGTAGCGAGCAGAGCGAAACAGGCAGGCTGTCGGGCAGTGTGCGCGAAGTTCCTAAATAAAGCTTAATTTTTATTGTGCACTATGTCTCGTTAATATTTATATCAATGCAGTAGGAACATAATCTGTGATATGGAATTCGAGGATTGGTGGTAAAAACATAACAGGAAATTTCCATAAGGTGTACCTCACCCAAAGTCAAAAAAGCTTCATTATTTCATAAATCACTATTTCACATTTTTAATTTAATAATATCTAAATATCTTACTATGTTTAAACTGCTGATCTAATATCCAGAAAAATTCCAAATCGAGAACTATTGAAGTCCCAACAAGACTGGATTTCGGACTATGTGCTCTAAAGAGTATCAGTCACACAAAAAACACTAAATATTTATAAATAACTTTTATAATTAAATAAATCTTTATCAGAATCATATTATAAGAAAACTTTGAAATACTCTTCAGTTTCAGAATGGGGCAGAAAATTTCTCTCTTCTCTTCCTTTTAGAATATTGTTTAACTGTCTTTTCAAGGACATTTTTCACTTTAAAAAACTTCCATTTCTTATAAGCTATATATTACCATTTAATCCTTGCAATGGTATTCCATCAGATGTCCATATCATGCTCTCACAGCGTGCATTCCATCTTAAATGTACTTCCTTTCCCAACCAACTTTCAGGAATATCGATTCGTACCTAAAATTATAATATTTACATATTTACTTACATATGTATGACATAGTTTTAAAAATATGAGTATGCTGTGCATATTTAAACTTGGATTCTAGTGATAATATGACCACGTATTTACCAATATAAATATATACAATACAATTTTTTTTTAAAAAAACGAAATATAAACATGCCTATAAATATATTTAAAGCAAGAAGTACTTTATATATATATAAATTTGAATTTAACAAATATTCTCTATTTGCATAAAGCTAATTTAAAGTAAATTTAAATTTTAAATTATGAAATTTTAATTGCATACAAATAAAAGATTAATTATTGCTACGAACTAATTTACAATATTATTTAAATTCTGAGAGCATATTTAAATTAAATGCAAGTATCTAAAACCATGAAAAAGTATATAACGTTCCAAAAAATTAATATATATTATTCCAAAAATTATTCCCAAAAATTTTTTAAGACTAAATTAATTTTGCATAAATGAATACTGTTGAGCAGGCAGGAGACCAATCTTATCCAGGGGAAGTTGCCTCTAAACCTAACTCTTCAATTACTCAATTCATAACTTACTATTTACTTGTATTTTTAGTATTATTTTTGTATTTTGATAGATTGTATATAGTTTATTTTTGTGCATTATTCGTGTCAGGGAAGTCAGAGGTTTCTAAATTACTTTGGTTTTTCTAAAAAACTTTGGTTTTCTACTCTAAGTGAATTTGCTTACTAAATTGCTCAAAGTTCCTTTAGTTTAAATTTCTTTTTTAAGTAATTCACTACACTACATTTAGATTTACTTTTGGTTTTGAATATTACTACACCCATGTCTATATGGATGATGAAACACGAACTGAGTAATTGAAGAGTTGGGTTTGGAGGCAACTTTCCCTTGATAAGATCTGTCTTCTGCCTACTCAGTAATTATTCACTTATGCAAAATTAATTTAGTCTTAAAAAATTTTTTTTTAATTTTGAGGATACATTTTTTGGAATATTATATATTTTTCCATGGTTTTAGATACTTGCACTTAATTTGCATATGCTCTCAGAATTTAAATGATATTGTAAATTAGTTCAGAGCAATAATTAATCTTTTATTTGTATGCAATTAAAATTTCATAATTTAAAATTTAAATATACTTTAAATTAGCTTTATATGAATAGAGAATATTTCTTAAATTCAATTTCATTCCTTGCAGCAATGGCACAAGAGAATTATTTAAATTTAATTCAACTGTATTATTTATTCTTATATATAGATACAGTCAAAAGTCGTTAATTCAGACACCCATAATCCGGAATGATCTATAATCCGGACCTCAAAGCTACAAACTTTCTGATGCATGCGTCACATTGACGCATGCGTGTAAGACCTTTACGGCTGCAAATATGCGCGTGCACATGCGCATAATACGTTTACGCATGTGCATTTAACATATAACAGACGGTATAAGCTAAGCTAAAATTATCTAATTCAGTTAATGTTGCAGATTGCGTTGTTCCTTAATCTTCGAATTGGATCCGGCTTATTATTTTTTGCAGACTGTTAGAGCAATTTTATAAAAGTAAGCTTGAACTTTCGATTATGTCAAATAGAATTTCCGATATATATTTACTAATATGTAAAGGATCTACAAAGTGAAAGTATGTTTTGATGTCCATCAAACAAAAAGTGGAATTGCTGCAAAAAATGGATAAATGCATATCCTTTGTTTCTCTAACCATTCTGAAATCTGTTTATCAATTTCACGCTGCTCTGCGGCAGAGTGGGGGTGGGGACGCCGCGGCGCGCAATGAATTGGAAGTTGATCTGTCAGCACTATCCTTATTTTCAGGGCAGATGTTTTTATTTTATTTGGCTTATAATTCCTTACTAAATGTAGTATTTCATTTCGATGTACTCCGTCTTTGATATGATTTAAATCAAATTCCTCATCATTATAATTCCCTTCTGATAGTGAAGAAAGTGACACATAGGTTATTAAAAACGAAAAAATTTCGATTGACAAGTTAGTCAGTATTCTCGCCACAGCAATTACGGGACTTGAACAACGGAACTTTGTAACTGAACAAGAAATTATGTCTGTTTATAGAATTAAAGAGAAAGTATTATCACATAAAACAAAGCAACTTAAACAACTTACATTGAAAGAAATGTTTAATAAAGTAAACAAATAAATATTAAGCTTTTTTTTTTTTTTTTTTTTTTTTTTTTTTTTTTTTTTGTAAATTTTGATACCCTTTAGATCATAATTGTTATTTATTTCATAAATTACGGTTTCATATTTTTAATTTTATAATTTCTGCATGCCATCTTACCAGATTTAAACTGATGATCTATAATCCGGAAAAATCGATAATCCGGAATCGCCGAAGTCCCGACGAATCCGGATTAATGACTTTTGACTGTATTGAGTATCACAGCATATGGGGGTGATCTACTCTCCAAAACTTTTAAACATACAATGTTTTTTTTCCTAACAATAGAGAAAGAAGGTGAAGTCAGAGACATTGTTTCTTCAAAGAGCAGCAGGAAAAACTAATGCCTACTGACTGGAGTCATATTTATAGCCGGAAAGTTCTTTGTGTTAATCCTGAGCAGTGACTGAACTAAAGATTTCACAGTGGAGAGAAAGAGCGACATAACATGCTGCAGAGTGACAAAAATGGTGCAATGCATATCATTGAAGCAGGGACATGTTTAATTCAAATTAATAATTTTGTTTCATATTTTATATATATGCATATATATATACATGTAATGACAATTTAAACAAATTAATGGAGTTCTAAAAGTAATTAAAAAAAATATTTAAAATCAAGAGCTGAAGTATGTTTAAGATTTCATTTTATTAAAAGCTTAATAATTTAGTAACATATATTACAAAGATAATAATAATTTAGTAACTGAATCCATGGAAAATTTTTGGGTACTTACGTATTAATGCCATCACAGCTGCAGATTTAGCAGTTTTTAAATGCCACCAATCTACATTTAAAATTTTTGCGGCAAATCATAAATTAAAACACTTTATTTAAAATCAAAGTTGTCAATCGGATTTCGGTGGAAAATGGGAGAAAAAAATAAAATAAAATTGCATCTTCTTCTGTGTTTCGCAAATCCCAAAGATGCATTTCGTAGCACTAAAAAATGGCATCAAAAATCAGCAAACAACACAACAAAAAGGAATGCAAAAGGTAACTGCATACAAACAACAGGATTGCTCTTTATTGGCACATCAGCACAACTTCTGCTGCAGTAACATTAATACGTAAGTGCAGTGGTGTTAATATGCAAGTACCAATTATTGGTATTTATTTATTAACACAAATACCTCAGTAGAAATTGCCAAATTTTCAGAATGGGCCAAACTTTGGTAACCATGTACACTGCAGAAAAAAAAAAGGGGGCAGTTCTATATCTCCCATTCTACTGGGCCGATTGATGAAATTAAACTTGCAATTTTCATGTCTCGAAAGCGCGACTTAGGATATGTATTAGATTTATGTACTAAGTCGCACTTTTGAGACATGAAAAATGCAATTTGAATTTTGTCAATCGGCCCAGTAGAACGGGAGATTTAGAACTGTCCCCTTTTTTTTTTTTTCACAGTATAGCAAACCATTATTTCAGCACCCATGCTCATAACAATCTTTCATTCAAGCAATGTCACTATTTTTGTATGCATTCCTTCTTTTTTTTTTTTTTTTTTTTTTTTTTTTTGTTCCAGTCATATTTTTATTAAATGCATCTTTTGCATACTTGTTTAATATTAAGCTTAGAAAAACTTTCTAAATTTTGAGATAGTGTTGCAAAATCTTCATAGATGTGTGTGTATTCAATTTAATTTTCTATTTAAATATTTATTGAATGAGTGCAAGTGCAGCTATGAAATCCCGAGTATGTGCTGTGAAAGTAGCCTTACATTTTACACGCATGTTCCCCTCCCTGTAACATGTTCTTTATAATATCAGTAATGAAATAAGGAGGAGGGTGGTAAACTTTTTGACATACGTGCGATGATTAAGTTAAGTTAAATGCACTAAAAAATGTTGACGAGGAAAAATTTCTTTCCCATATGCTAAAAATTGATTTTGTTGATGATACTCATAGACATAAACATTACATTTACGGCTATTTGAATTAAGAATAACTGGGTAAAATCCTGGGAGAGCACACACGCTTGGCGACAAACTGGGAAAGTGCAGAATCACCCACTGCTTCGCGCTTTCTAAAAATCCCCAACTTGAAAATAGCAAGTCAAAGAAATGCAGAAACTTGCTATCCATGTACACATCGACCTATTTTACTTTAAAAAAGCATCCCAGAATTGCACAAACTTGGCACTGCACACTCTCTTGACTTTGTCCATGTACACAGCGATAGCGCCATATAATTGGGTGCGCCAAGGGTGTGGGCTCTGCTAGGATCCAACTGAATAACTGATTTGTTATTCACATAAACCCAGAATCAGCGCCAGGAGCCTGGAGATGACACTCTGGGCAATTCCAAGTTCGTCTGATACTTCCAGTTGGGTACGCCCACATTCCAGACGGCCGATAATTCTACCACGTAAAAAATCATCCAAATGCGTCCTTTGTGTCATAACTATTCGTTTATTGCACTGAAATGCTTATAAAGCGCCTGCGAACAATTTTACTTCTTTGCCTGTATTCCTTATATATCACTCTCTTACACTCTCGTCATTGTGACGCACCATCGGTGTCATCTGGTTACTTCCTGAAATTTGCATATGATTCTTGAAGATGTGTGTAGTGATTTTACAGGTGATATATTTATTTTAGAGTTCAATTTCCGCGTGACTCCGAATTATCCTTAATTTATGAACATGAGTGTAGTTAACACCACTGTCCATTCATAAATTATATGCTCATGAAAAGTTTTATTTGCTTCACAAAATAACTTCAGTCTTTTTATTTGAAATTTACACCAAACAAGGTTTTAATTTTATACATTATTAAATTAAAACATTACCTAAAA